CGACAGATCATCATAACGACGCGTCAAAATATAGAGAGATTGACAGACCAGCACCTTGATTATTCGACCGTCAGAGATACAAGAGCTCCAAATATATAGAGAGCGCGACTTGCCAGGGAGAGATAAAGGGAGAGAGAGGGGAGAGAGGAATTTTTGCTCGTTCCCATCAGACCGAAACTTTCCGCGATAAGTCCTAAAATCTAAACAATTGTTGAGCCCCTAGGAAGCCCGCAAGAAGCTTGCAAAGAAGATCCGGAAAAATTAGGCCCCGGACTAGCAATATGGCCGAAAGTGGCCGCGCCGCTTTAGTGAGGTATTTATCAACCATACTATCCATAATTCCACATCGATTGTATTGATTGAATGGAAACTCATCAGAATTCAATATACTCTCTCAATATATTTGAGATTTCCTATAATTATTCAATTTTTCAAATAATCTGCGGAATCAAACCAAAATTCAACCTTTAGGATTCGACCCGCAGTGAATCGCATGAAACGCTGAATAGAACGGCTACGAACAAACATTTTGACAAAAAGTATCGAACCGAACTTGCCCCGTATGAACGCGCCGAATTACCCGCATAAATGCTGCACCCCCGTGCGCAAGACCGCAGCTCTCCACCGCCGGGCTCGCAGGGAGCAGGTCCGCGTTTAAAGCCAATTAAAACGTGAATTTCTTCTGGAGCGCTCCTGGTGTCTGTACAGGAAAGGAACAGGAGAGGAACACGCGAGAATCAGTGTTTTAAGCTTCGGGCCCGAAAACTTGAAAACGCGGACTCCGGGCGGACTGGAGGGCTCATGGTTCCTGTACGTGAGAAAACGCAACAGCTCCTGAGTCCTGCACACGAGAGGAGGACGCCGGAGAGTGCTGACTCCGAGACCGCTTGGGCTCTAAAATCAAGACTTAAGGTGGCCCCGCCGCTTTTGGCAAAGTATTGGTTTGGACCCTCCGCTTGACCCCATCTAGCAACGCCAAAACAAGATTTGCTCTTCTGATTTCATAGAGTCCGGCAAGTTCCTAACGAGGGCATGGCATCAGGGGAGTTCAATGGCATAGTTTTCTAGGCCAAACATAGCTTTGGGCTATGAGATAGGAATTGGGAAGCCTCAACCTGACCAGGATGGCAAGGAGGTCCCTGGAAAAGCCCTGTAGTACTCTATTGATTTGCGGGTTCGTTCCGGGTTACAGTGAAGGATAAAGGCTCAAGTAAGCTTGGTGGGGCTTGAGTGGAACTGCTTTGATTTGAGCCACACTGGATGGAAACGAAGCTGTTCCGCGAGCAGCCTTTGAACCGCAACCCATCCTAATCAGTTCCAGCTAACCTAACCGAAATGAACCGAATCCGAGGTTCCCTGTAAATTACTTATTTGGACTCAAAGTATTGGATCTTGAGTGGGGGTAGCCTGGCCAACACCCCGAAATCCGCAACTTCGACACGCAGATTCAAAAAATGTATGCCTTCCAAATAATTTCTCATACCCAGTCATTCCGAAAAAGATCCTGTAATCAGCAATTTTCCGCAACTAATTCGCGCCTTCGCGTCCTCAACCGTATTTGCTGTTGTATGTTCATGTCTTTAGGGAGTAAGTTGCCATAATCGGATTATGGAAGTACCCGTTGTGCCCCATCTGAGTCTTAACTTGTCACCTTTGGTATAGTTGTTAATCTGCAGACGCCGCTTCTGTCAGAAGTAAGTCGGAGCCTTATTTGTCTCACAGAAATTTCCATCATGACAAAGGATGTCCATTCAAAAGTCCGTGCTCTAGTCAGCTCAGCTTCAAACTTCAACAAGCCATGCACAGAGCTGTCTGATGTGCGCATATACGAGGTCGTTCATCTCTGGGCGCCTGACGCTCAAATGCGGAAGCCCGTAGAACCCTGAAGGCCGCTGTTGCCCGGACTGCCTGCAAACATCATCAGCAGGGACATCACTCAGTCGCAGCCAAGGTCAGTGCGAGCAAAAACCAGATATCAAGGTCAGGCCTCCCCAAGACAAGGGGCTGCCACGACCGCCTTATCAGGCTGGAAGGAAAAATGGTACATGCAGCCAACTGAATCTCCGCCCGATTCGGCAACGCTACATACTGACAAGATCTGACAAGCAGTGGTACTCCCAAGATCGCAGAGAAAATCCACCCAATAAGAAATGCGAAAGCTCGAGTCACCGGGCCGCAGGCGTTGAGCTGTGACAGGATAAGCTCGAACGCGTTCAGGGGGACCTGTGACGCAGCACAAGGTAGCGCAAAGCAGCGCCAGGGGAGGAATGCCAATTTCATCACAACTGTTGCTGCACCTCCACTGCCACTGGCACTCGCACTCCAAAAGCCGCCTGCCACACCTCGAAGGCATGTTTCACTGAGTTTCACTTGCATTTGGATGTTGTTGCGTCCGGCATAAGCTCATTGAATATGGGACCTCGTACTGCCGGCGTTTGCGGCGCCTCAGAGCCCGGGCGGGAGCCAGGGCTCAGACCTGGCAACATAAAGAGAAATAAAGAGCAGTAATGATGATGAGACTTGCGACATCTCTCAACCAAGCTGCTTTCGGCCGACCAAGAGCTCCAGTTTCGGTGAGTTTTGGGGGAACAGAACTATGGCTCTCCGTCACCGCTAAGGAGATGCCACTAATCCATTGAGAAGGCGCCCAACTGAACCGAGTTGGAATCATGCCAGACAAGCCGTACAGGGGCTGCGCTACAGGTGAGGAAAGGCCACCGGTCACCAGAACTGGGTGCAGCATGGATGTATCAACTCAGAACCGGACACTTCGCTAACCGCGAAACAGTCTGTGGCAAATTACTTCCTGCAACATGTACTTTGTCGTGATCCCACCTGGTGGGGCCGCACTCAGTATCCTGTCGTGAATTGACATGTACAGGCTTGTGTGAAGTGCAGCCAGCATAGAATCACAGTTCTTGACAAACAGTTGGTTCACAATCGTTAATATGACCGCTTCCCTTTCGTCTTGACTTTCGCCTGTGAGCACCTGCGCCCGCTGAAGCTTCACCTCAGCATTCAGCACTCTGGTCCGGTGGCATAGGCCTGCTAGTTGCAAACTGTGTGGTCCCATGCTCACCCTCACGAATACGAAGGGACGATGAGGCTCCGACCCGTAGCATCTTCGCTGATGCCGCGGATATGCTGCCAAGAAGGACACATTCAAATCAGCGAAGCTGCTTTGAACGAACTCGCATCAGGCAACTTGACTACCCAAAGTGCTGCCTCTCATTACGCGTGCCAGGACTCTTTTTTACGCTTGAACTTGAACTTGGCCTGGAGAGGCCATTATCAGCCATGTTGAAGAGAGAGTGTGTGGTTGGAAGCTGGCCGAGAGAGAACCCCTGCCATGAACTTGCACATAGCTACACTAGATAATGGCTGGTGGTCTGAGTCGTTTTGATCAGCGCTTACCCCCTAAACTCTCTCAGCATACAGCCAGGGATGGTAAAGGGCCCCAGCGGATTTCTTTTTCTCTGGCCACCCCCGCACCCTGGGCCCAGCCTCCTTGCGCCATCCCTGTGTCTTTTGAGTTGGGTAAGCTGCATCACTTGACGATTTGATGGTGTACTTACATGCGGAAAAGGCCTCATCAGCGTCCCTTGTATATGGACTTTGGCAGAATTAGTCAGATTTTGAATTCAGCTTGCGAGCTTTGGGCTCCCAAGATGTTGTGTGTACGGCTTCATGCCTACGGTCTGGAGCTGAGAGCTTTGGCCCTGGACACAGGGGCATTTCAAGGCCCCCCCTCCCTCCGGGGAATTGTTTTTTCCAGCCGAGCAGCATGTAATCATATACCACGTGAGAAGCCAACAGCACAAAAAATTGGGTTCCTGTTGCAACATCCTTGACTGTTGTGTTCCTTGCGGTCCAACTGTGTGGCACATCTTGTAGCAGCATGATGGTGTCATGTTGGGAGCAGGGTCATCCAAACCTGTGTATGGCAACTAAGGCGTTTTGGCCTAGCAGCGCAACCAAATTGAAAGGATTCCCAACCATGACTTGAAATTTGGTGCGTAGTACAAGACCCCGAACTGGGGGACGTTTTGCAATCTTTGGGAGTGTATCTCCACAAAAAAACAGTGCGTGTGCGACCCTTCTGCATAGAATCCGGACCTTGATCCGTGGAGTTTGGAAGTCAAGTGGATATTGCAAGATCGTCGCGCTCGCAGATCCGTGTTTTGGAGCAGGGTATGACATGCAATTCAATTCGGGCTTTTGGTGGATTGTTTACAAGGGCATGTAACGAAGGCCTGGATCGATCTGTCCCGGCTTCATGTTCCAGCCTAAACATCGGGATAAGCTACCGCATAGTGAGTTTCTTCTTATTCCAGCCCAATGAAAATTGTTTTGCTGCTTGAAGTTGGAAAACTCGGTCTTGTCAGTTTATGAATGTGCAGACACTTATCTTTGGATTTTGGGTTGGGAAGATAGAAATTTCCGCATTTAAGTTTTGAGAATGCGCGAAAAAGTCTTGCACTGTCGAATCTTGAAATCTGGCCGCTTCAGTTTTGGCGTATCTGGACTGTTCAGAATATTCTTTTCTCAAATTGAACAACCCAGTTCACACAATGGTGGATCCCACCCAGATGGAAGCCCGAGCAGGCGCTAAAAGAAAGCCTGATGGACAGCTTGGGCCAACTTAGTCACACGGTCGGTTTGGGTTTTCATTGCTATCACCCCCATATTGAAAGACTTAAGTGCTTTGCTGCTCATCCTAGCATGTCTTGGGAGAAAGGGATGTCGGAAAGTAATTGTTCGAAATTCAAGTTTTAGATAAGCTAAGCTTGAGAATGTTAAGGTAACATGTACCCAACACGCTGTGGAATTGCGGCCCCCAGGGCGTCCCAACCCGTAAACCTTCTAGGAAAAACCTGCGCCAACACCCTTCTGCGATTCTACGCGTATACGTGAAGATGTTCTGCGCTGCAAGACTTCAGGGGGCATACGCATACTCCAGTCAGCGCGATAGGTACATCTGTTCTTACTCGGGCCCTGGCAAGCTTCTCGATATGCGTCTTGATTGTGTGGTAGTCCTGCGCGGGCTCATGACTTCACGCCTTTGCCAGCGGTGGGTCGAAATTGGGGATTGCATCTTACTTTTCGTACTATGATCCCCAGCCACATTTGAGAATTTCACGCCTTGGAGTCACGATTCAGGTCCATGGCCTTAGATGACAATATCCAAGGGGCGGAATTGAAACTATGTATGGGTCCACTGAACTGAGCATGACGCAGCTAAACATATCTAAATTGTCACTGCAGTCCTGAGCGCTGTGCAATGTTGAAGTGGTAGAGAGCCTTCCTGTCCTTCTGCAGCTTCATGTAAACCTCACAGCAGCTTGGCACCTACTCTGACTCGGATGACTCCGCTCTTTTGATCCACTGCAACTGCACGTGACCTTGCCGAGCTGGAAGTGCACGCAAGCCTCCTTTGGAGCCAAGCAGCGTACCTGAAGCTGGGCAGGTTTTTTTGTGAGAAGGCCTTGGCACCGCGCTGGAGCTTTGGCTTTGAACCCGTCCTTCTTCAGGTCGGTAAGGGCTTCTTCGTATCTCTCTAAGCTGATGAGGACACATGCCTTCTGGAAGTACCTTCGCTGTTCATGCAGCGCCCATGCTAGAGAATGGCATTTGAAAGTACAACACGGCGACGTAGCGCACGCCATACCATTCTGGGGCTCTGCCTGAGCTGCCTCGAGATGGCACTTCGTCAGGGGAAGATCTGACAGCCTAGCAGACCCAGAAACTCGCCTGGTCAAAGCTATCCAGGGCCAGCAGCGGCTGTTTCAACGCGCTTAGCACCTCAGTGCACCAAGCCCTCAGCAATGTAAGATTGCACGGGTGTTTGCATGTTCCTTCAGTCTGAGTCATGGGCCATTCCCAGATAGCATCGAAGGACTGAATTGCTGCTATTCACCTGGAGGGCCTCAAGGCGCTTAAACATGTTCAGGTAAGGAGGCACATGCGCGTTCTGCTGCTCTGCCACGAGCACACTGCTTCTGCAATCTGCTCTTGGTTTTGCAAGCTTCCTGGCAGTGTGCCTTGCCTTGTAGAAGTGATACTTTGCATTCCTCAGGCATCCAGGCACGATGCAGGTAAGGCTAAACCAGTCTTCATGTGGCGGGCGTGTGCAATTCAATGCCCAGTTTCTCATGCTCCTCCTGGCGGTGATAAATGTTACCAAGACCCCACCTTGGCAACGCATTTGTTGCAAAGGATAAAACTTACAAACTGCTGAGGTCCTTGCCAGGCATTGTAGTGCCGAGGATCCAGATTCAAAGCGTTCTCATACATGGCCACTGCCTTCGGAGAGGGAGAGGAGATCATCTGACATTGAGTGCCTAGGCGAAAACATTGTTGCGAGTCCTTGTCTATCTTCTCACTGGCGACGAACTCATGGCCGCACAAAGTGTAAGCATAAGTGAAGGTCGAGTCGACCTTTCCACAAGAAAATTGCTCATAGTCGGCATGAGGAGCAAAGGCAGCGCATTACGCACCAGGCCTGTATGGCACGCTTGAACAGCTTGATGGCAGCATCATGCTCTTTCTGTAAACTGCCAGAGCACCAGCAGTAGCTTCACAAGGCGATGACGCACTAAACAAGCAAGGTATAGCTTGAAGTTGCCTGAAGCAGTTGCCCACCACACACCACACTTGGGGTCTCAGGCGGTCCTTAGAAGGATGCAGGAAGCCGTCCATTCTGTCATTCAAAGGGTCGCTGCACATGATACTCCGTTGAATGGTAAGCACTTCGCTGGTATCATCAGGTATCAGTAGTTGCCGCCGATCCACAGGTGGAAACATGATACTGGACCCTCGCCCTTCTCACTCTCAGGCTCGGGCCCACTGTAAGCATTGCTGTGCTAGTCTGCCTTGCAGCTATACAAGTGCCGCGACGGCTCGAACACGATTTCCTGAGGTGTCTTCAAAATCCAGGCCCCAACACAGCTCCACGTCCCTGCGCAAGTGCCATAAGGCGGAAGAGTAGTACTCCAGTCCTGCGGGTATGCCACAGGCACGAATGACTAGAATGGTGATCGACTCTCGAGAGCCCCGTCCTTCAACTCGATGGGGCTCTACTCGCCAAGCCTCAGCTGTGGCTGGGCTGCAAAATGAGTAGTTTTTCTTAACGGCGTCTTACAGTAGCCTGGTTGTATGCCAGCTCGGACTTCTTGTAATCCGCGGACTCAAAGTAGCTGAGCCTGGATCATGTCCAGAGCAAGGGAAGCCCGACAGATTCCAAACAGATTCCAGTTTCAGAGGCCCGGTCCCCACCAAGTCCAACACATACCCAGTCTCGTAGTGCCTGTGCAACAACACCCGGTTCAACTTTTCAATGAAGTCGATGAATTGGAAGTGCTGTGTTTTTAGCCATTTGCGAGAGCGATGCCCTGGCCCGTACATGTGCGCTGAGTCTGTTCTTCAAAGCATCAGTAGAGCTAACCTCTCTGAGCTCTTTACCTGCAGGCTGAGGGGCCACAACTTATAACAAGACTGCTCTGCACAACATCTTTGGGCACACTGGATGGCTGGCATGCGCGTGACTTGCGAGTCACGACTTGAAGAGCTCCTCTTGCTTGGGCAGTTTGGCCTCTTTGGCAACGACGAGAGTTCTTCCACTGCTTGTTGGCAGTTGAAGCTATGCCTTGGTCAGCGCACTACCCATTTCTGACAGGACATACTCTCAACAGGCAGAGAACTGAGCTTGCCACATGGCATGAAGTGCGACACCAAGCTTGCAGAGCAGCGATGCCAAGGATAGCGACTGGCCAACCGTTCAACAAACGACACCAAGACAGATCAGCAACCAGGAGCAGCATTCACAAAGCGAAGCCTCATTGGAGTGGCTGCCACCTATCACAGTGGCAGCGGCAGTTTCCTGCGCAGATCGGGACACATCAATCGTCTTGAAGGAGGTGATTTCCTACTCGCTCTGCTACTGCTTCTCTTCATCTACGCAAGCATAATCCGGAATTCGGAACTGCATGCTCGTGCATTGATGACTCTGGCACTCACAGAATGCTAAGGCAAACTACCAGGATTTGTAGGAACCTCCACCATTCTGACCCTCTTTAAGCTCACACTTCAACCTGCATATGCTCCCTTTGGAGGAGTGGTGGGAATTCATGAAATTCGTGCGTGAGTGTTGCTTGTGCCATTGCAGCACACATGCAGTCTCCAAGCAGCAAGGACATGCGGAACACCTGCGCAGCTGCCCCAGATGTGCGCCGCGGCTCCTGCTGAAAAGGGCAAGTAACGCACCCAGAAGGCTGAGTGAGCGAATCCTTTTGCACGTGACCATCCAAAGATCTGCTGTGCCAACTTTCGCGCCGCTCCTGGGCAAGACTCCAGGGGCGTTACCCAACATGCTCACGCCTCCAGCAACTTAAACATTGATCCGTTTTCATGCTTTTGAAGCATGCCTCCCACATGTGCAATCGCAGCAGCAAGCATTGTGCAGAACAGTTGGTGCGCTCAGCACCCGTAACAACAAGCATGAATTCGTCAACCTCCCGATCCAGTGCCAGAAAGCTGACGCCCCGACACGGCGATTCAGCACTCCTTTTGAAACCATCTCGTTTCTGGGAGGAGCCTGGGCTGACGACGGTTGTTGTTACTGTCACTAAAAACTGGCATGTTGCTGCACAATCTAGCTCATCAGCTTTCTGTGTGCTGGGCATTCTGAGACTTGATTGCTGTCGCGGAGACTCGCCCCCTCGGCGCATCAGCAAATCACAAGGAAGACAATTACAAGTACCACTGCTCGCCAGCACACAAATGCAATGTTTTTTTCTCACTTGCGGACTGCTTGCTTGTCCTCCATCTGCGGCCATTCGTAAGCCTGTGGATCCAATACAGTAGCCCCTTCCCCGCTCCTTGACGCTGCAATGGGCCCGTAATTAGCGGGAACTTGTCATGCAGCTGGTAACAGACCGGGGAGAAGCCTTCCAAATCTTTCCAAGATGGTCCCTGCCTGGCAACTCACGGTCGCTGGCAGCTTGTCCCCTTCCTTGAGCTCGGCCACGCCGAAGGAGTATCGCTGACCGGCAGCTCAAGCACTGTGATGTCGGCATGCCAAGGACAGTAAATCCAATAATCCAACTTGAACTACTCCTTGATCTTTCTGTAGGGGCTGCTGGAATACTGCGAAGAGAAGTTGACGGACAAAGCCACAGCTGCGGAGGTTTCTCTTAAATGTCATCGCACACCAGCTTGGAATACATATGCAGCATCATCCTCAAGCTGATGAGGAAGGACATGCTCCCGGAAATGAGTGCCCTCTGTATTGTGCAGACCAGAACACTGCCGCAAACGGGATCGTGCTGATCCTGGAACTTCAGGATCAGGGTTGCATGAACAAAATGCAAAAACTCGAGTTGCAGCGTTTTGTTCTTGCAGCACGGAGACATTCCAACATGCCTTCCCCCTCTCCTTGACGCTGCAACGGCCCCACGGCTGGAACATGTCGAAGCTCAGGGATAGGAGGGTTCCACAGTAGTAAGAAGCCCACCACCAGCGGTAATCTTCCTGACAAGCTCGACAATCTACAGCAGATCGGCGTGGCTCTTCACTAAGGCTGCAGGGAAGTCATCTTAAGGCTCAGTCAACAGCAAGGCAGGTCCTGGATCAGCCATCGACAATTCATCAGTAGGGACGCTTCTGCGCAAACAACTGCGAGCGCAGCATCAATCGACCTTGGCACCACGCATTTCTGAGAGGCAGCCTGTGGTTCACTGTGGATCCAGATGTCGCAACAGCTCAAAAGGCTGGGTGACGGCAATCGCTGTGAAGGCCAGAGTGGATTGAGGCTACCCAAACAGAATAGCAGTGCTGCAGCTCCAGGAAGGATTAGCCACCTCACACAAGTCATTGCTTGTCTTGCAAGCCATCATGCCTCATTTTCTTAAATACCGCTACCTCAGATAAGATTGTGCCGCATGCAGATCCTGTTCCTCTGGGGCGAGGCACGTGTCTTCGTGTTGCTGCCAGGAAGCCCGCCGGGATCCTGTGGTATTCCACGTGGGATCTTCTTGAACCCCGTGAAGAATCCGGTCGGCCGTAGAGTGTTAAATTGACAGCCCACAAGAGCAGCTGCAAAAGCGAACACATGCAGTGCAGCAAACCAAGTCCTTGGGAGAGCAAAAGACATTTGCTACTTACATAAGTTCGTAAAATTGCCACACTGACGTGCTGTACATCCGCTGAGATATGCCCCGGAAGACATGTGCGGAACTGACTACAAGGTTGCTCAAAGGCCACAAAGTAATCGCATATGCAACAAGTGCAGATTGAAAGTCAGTCGCAGCTCCATTTGCAACGACCGCAGCTCATGAAGAGATACCATGATCTGGAGGACTACCAGAATGACCGTTGCCAGGAAGACGGCTAGCCGACTGGTGCCAAGGGCCCCGTGCAGCCTGCACACATGCGAGGGACGCTTCACTGATTGGGACTCAGTCACTAAGCGCCTTCCAAGTAGAAAAGAAGCAGCGGCCACTGCAAAACAATCTGCCAGGAAGTGGTGCCCAATAAGTCCTGTACGATCTGGGCAGCACTACCCTCTACACAGCTGTGAGTTGACGGAGGAGCTCCTCGGAAGAGTTCTGAGAAGGCTATGCTGCAGCCTGCCCCCACTGCAAGGCCAAGCCCACCACCAAGTGGGGGCGGCCTGAAGACATCACCTGACAGGTCATCAGGCTGTTCGGGAATGGCATTGACAATCTGGTGACAGGTTTCGTGTTGAAAGCGGCTGACGCCAGAGATTCGGTTTTCCGGCTCATGTCAATGGAGCCAACTTTGTGAGTCTTAGGGCCCTGCATGTCAGAAATGGGAGCACGCGTACACCTTGACTTGAGGACACGTTCGCCACCCCTTAGCCAGCAATCTACCTGCTATTGCAGAAGAAGCGCCGTACAACTGCATCCATCCGGTCTCTTCCTCATCACTAACATCATGACAATGCTTCCGGCCTGAGGGACAGCTCAGGACTTTTGCTGCTGCTTGACTTGTCACTGCTGGAGCTCCTCACATGCCCACAGAATCGTAGTTTAGCTTCCGGCCTCTTCCTGGCTCTTGGAGGAGGTTCGAGAAGAATGCAGCAGAAGTCAACAAGAAAGCTCCTGGACGGCTGCTTGCCAGATGTATTTCTGACCGCTTGTGCTATCAATAACGTGCTTGCATGGACTTTAGGGCAAGGTTGAGCACCCGCTCCTGGCAGTACGAGCGCTGCAAATGGCAGCGGGAAGTCGAGCACGCCATTGACAAGGCCGCGGGCTCTTCCCCTCTCCTTGTCCGCTGGGTCACGCAATCCACAGCGCCGGAACTCCGCAAATGTCACCTGTCGGCCGCTTGACTCAGGAAAGGATGACATGTCCAACTAGCTGTCAGTCTGGCTTGCATGACAGTGCCTTGGCCAAGCAAAGGCTAAGCGCCACCGCAGCGAGCCCCAAAACAAGCGCCATTGCTGGTGACGATATTCAACCCAGGAAGATGACTGACGGTCATCAGTGTTTTTCTCTGCGATGCAGAGAACGACATTCCGTCAATGATCAGGAAATCCACCCATGATGAAGTTAAAGCTCACGAAATACACTTCGTAGTTCTTCTGGAACTCCAAGAACCCCGTTCCTACCATGATGCACTTACGAGAAGGGAAGTGAACCCTGAGGGCACCTGCGGCTACTGCTGACACACCATTTCTAATTGGTGACCGCAAGAAAGCCACAAGCAGGAACCAACTTCAAAAGCCAATGGTCGCTAGAAAGTCACTAGAGATGGGCACATCATCCCATGCAAGCATGGAACCCTGCTGGCACATGCAGGCAGGTGCAGCTGACGTTTCTGCGTCGCGATATTTGGTACAACGTGTGGCAATTGCTCGACCTCAGCAAGAAGTGGATGCTAGAAAAATGGGTGGACCTGAGAGCTTCATTCTCCAAGTCCAAGAAACACCTTCCTGAATCTCCTCGACGACCTTTGAGGTCTGCAGAAGTTCCTGGTCAAAATGCTGCACGCACAAGCTTCCATCTTACACCTCACCACTTAAGCCCCGTTGTACGGCCCAGCGTCTTTCCGGAAGAGTGCCATATCAATGTTCCTGGCAGCGCCTTTGAGACGCGCCACGCCCATGACCAGGTCTTTCGCACAAAGATCCTGGCGCCATGCGGGCGTGCGGGTGGCAATTGGCTTGAAGAACCAGGGCAACACATGCTTGGCTCCTCCAACCCAGTGGCAGCGCATATCAGCTCATGGACAAGTGCCTGGGCAACTAGTGGACACCCAAAGCGCAAAGCCTCAACCTGTAGATTCCAAAAAAATGTTTTTGACCCGAGAATGTCAAAAGTATTCGCACTGGCAGAATGTCTCTGACAGCTTAGTGGTATTCATCTACAGTGTCTCTTCAACCGTCCGTGCACTTGGGCTCAGTACTTCAAAGATCAGCGTGCCTAAGGTCAGGCCGTACCGGAATGATCCAACGCTAATGGCCAGCCAATGCTCCGCTTTTTGGGTGGCCGTCACTACTGCCTACCTTGATGACCCTCAAACTGGCATGTCTCGTCCCACTTTGATTGCACCCTTTTTGGAGGATTGTTGGGGTCGTCTAAGCCAATTATGCTGCCCAAGCACGCTGCGAGACTTCATCGGGTTGAGGGGGACTATAGGCAGGTTTTAGGAATGATTGCTTCATGGTGATTCTATGGGGTGTTGTGATGCTTTTTCCTGTGCGTGTGTGTTATGACCATTTAAGGCCCATTCAGGGCGTTGAAGGGCTTTTGATGTGTTGTTTGTGGTGTTTTCAACCAAGGATACTGATGCCGCTTTCCTGCCGGAATTTTGGTGCCGATGAGGTAGCAGATCCCTTTCCGTGGATTTCTGGATGAAAACGCAGGTCCAACAGATCAGTAAAAGAAACCGAACATATTAGGACACTGCCCACTCATGGGTTGTAAGATAGTTGCGTTTGAGCGCTTGATGAGCAGTGATGTGCACGTCAAGTTGCCATCACAGCTTTTTCACACCACTTGCGTGGGCGATCTGATTCGGGCTGGGTGTTCGGGCAATGTCGTGCATCTGAGTTACTGCGTTGCTGACGTCTAGCCCCATAGCAGCCAGCCAGAGCTGCACGGAGTAGTCGTCACACACCTGAAGCTTTCCTCCTAGAAACTATTCAATCATGTATTCATCTGGCAACAGATACGATTCGCGACGTTCGGCCTGCAACCATTCGCCGCGATCCAACCGGCCGCTCTCGTCGAAGTCGGCTGCTTTGAATAATGCCGTCCTTTGGACATCAAGATGCAGATAGCTCTGAGAGATGGCTGTGCAGAAAAGCGGTCATGCCTATCTTTTGCTTACATGTCAGATCTTTTCATGCTCTTGCTTGGCCGAGCTTCATTTTGGACATGTGCAGATTTAGAGCACGCTCTTTCTGCGTCAGCATGATCGTGTTGTCTGTTTGTGCCACGGTCACGGTCTCTTGAATGAAGACACCCGTGATGACCTCAGCGCGGAGCGAACAACAGACCATCAACGGAACAACTCCAACCTACAGGAACCTAATTTTACTAGAGGATCCTAAGAGCAAGCTTCATCTGAGCATGCGACCATCACCACCGCAAAGCCAATCACCAGCTTGTGAATTAGCGCAAACACAACCTGACAGGGACAATCAGCTTGAGAATTCTAGAGGCTGAATACAAAACCCCTTGATTTGCCAAGGCGCGTAGATTTCAGACACATCGCTCATCATCAGGCGAGTGACGGGGACAAAGTTTCCCAGGGTGATCTCCTTTCACACATCCACGTGACAAGGCACTTACCCTTAGTCCATGCACAGAACTACGGGATTTTCCTGCCAAGAGTCAAACAAGGTAAGCATAGCACGCGTGAAAGTCCCGTAGTACTTGTAAACGTCGTAGCGATCTCCTGGTTGGTAGAGTGATTAAGGAGAGAGAGGGCACAAATCAGCTCCGTACAGGCCATTGACGCAAGAATCCGTGTGCGTCTCCTGGACTGTTGGGATTTGTCAAGTATGGCTCGACTATCGTCACCATTGCCAGGGCAAGCATCATCTGGATCCTCAGCACATAGCAGAAAAGCAGTGATGACTTGAGAGGCCAGCGCAAATTGATCGATGATCGTGCTTGCAAGTGAATGCTGTGCTTTGGCTATTGCCTTTGTTATGGTGCTGACTAGGTTTCTTGAACTCGCTTTCGTTGCGTTTGCCTGATTCAGCAGCAAGCAAGTCCAAAGCCCTTCGAAATTGTACCTTGCTTCCTGGGTCCTATGTCTTGCCTGTAAGTTTCGCGCTTGCTTGCTTTGGCTTGAAGACTTGACTTTACCGTTGTTGGCTGGTTACCTGGGAGTCCGCCGTGGTGTGGCATCTCGTGCCAGGCGCAGTTATAGAGAAGGAAGACATCTGGACCAACTCCACTAAATACTGAGTGCACCTGCAAAGTGTTCAGGATGTGTTAAAAAAATGGTACGTGTTTGTTTGCTTTGGTGATGTTCCTGGGAGAAGCTAACATGGAGTCCCGAACTTGTCGAAAGCCAGAAGTGCAACCAGCAGGATTCAGGTAGCGGCAGTCTACTGGGGATGCCAAGGTTCAACACCAGCAGGGCGCTCGACCAGGCCAGTGCAGCAAATGATGCTCGAATCGAGGTCAGCATCAAGTACAGGGCCTTGGAGCTTCCGGTGACTTGCATCTTACATGTCTTTAGCATCAGCCGCATGAGCTTGATTTACTCCTTATTTTGTAGCCAGATTCCGACCGCATGCACATCCTTAGGATCCTTATGACAAGGCCTCATGATGAGGAACTTGGAGTGAAGGCCGTGCTGACGAAACGCGAGCGGCAGCTTGTTACAGCAAAGTGTGCTTGGTATTGTGCAGTCGCTGTCTTGTTTTGAAGATCAGCTCAATCCTTGTGCTAGATCAGGTGGCCTCTGGCAAGCATGCTTCAAGTCTGAGCACAATGAAGCCTGTGCATGCTGGAACCAAAGCTCATCTTGTTATTGCTACCCGAAACCCCAGCGTTCGTTCAGTCTCTTACAAAAGACAAATTGTACCCCAAGCCAACCCCGACACCTTCGCCACACTGCGCCAACGGCTTGCATCGTCTACTGCACAAGCCCCCAACCCATGATCACGATGAACCCCCGCTGGGAATCGGGAAGAGCTATCACTTCCTGACTTCCCTTTTAGCATTGTCAAAGTTCCCGAAAATTTGCATCATGGCACATTAGTGTGTGCCATAAAGTGCTTGCACGTCCTGCGACAACAAACACACTAGTGGAAGGCCAAGATGCGTCACACTGCTCGAATATCTTGACCAGCCTACGGAGCTTTTATGTGGCATTTGCAAGTAGTCATGCGACTTTTTTGCACAAGTTTCGGAGTGTGGCCTGACCATCCGCATGAGGCGAGTCAGACGGAAGAGCCGCAAAATCATTGGATCCAGCGGAAATGCAGTTGCCGTCATCCGCTCCACGTACCAGATCGCCAGGACCAGACCATCCAGCAGATTCCACACGTCCTCCAGACAGGCTTCAGAACCATGTGAGTGGCCCTGCTAGAATCTCCCTACACAGTGCTCAGCTCTGATTCTTGCAGCTCCCGCCCTTCAAGCGGTCCTTGAAGAACTCAAGCGAACTCCCCAAGAACTTCAAAAGCAGCTCGAGTGTGAAGACAACCCCAAAGAAAACCTCAGGCTTGGCTGCCAAGCAGACAAGCTTTTGACTCGTCCCACTGTGAATTGAGGCTGTCCATGCAAGCACATGCTTTGATACTATCTCCCCAAGAGACTATTTCGATTTCCAGCGTTACTTTAGATCACAATGAACTATCACAAGGATCGGGCGCGTCCTGTACCTTGAGCATACCTTTTCCCAAGTGAAAGGCGGTGAACCACGTGTACACACTCCCTCTGCCCATCTTCCCAGATAACCGGCGGCAAATCATGACGTGATTTACGCGGCCTCGAAGACATTCTAATATTTCTTAAAGCACCCGTTAACCACGTGATGACTTACAGCATTTCACCTGGGAAGAGCCATCATGGCGCGGTTCACCTCGTTTTGCTTTCCCGCTGTTCACTTTGTGGAAATGTTTTTTTCAGGGCTGCCGGACAAGCACACTCCCTATGACAGTCGCCACTTTCGACACACCAGAGCTGCAAAATGACGAGCGGTACAGGCGTGCGACTATTTGCAGCGTGTGGCAGCTTTATTACTTGCACACACGCACTGAGCCCTACGTAAGTGTACAGCCCGCTTGGCACTTAAACCCGAGGCGCATCCAAGACCTCAAAGGCAGTCTCTGCATGAGGCCACACCTCGTTGGCAGGTCGTTCCAAACCTGCCAATACGCCATGTTAAGCTGGTACACTCAAATTTCAATTTCCAAAAGCCGGTCTTCATCTCTGGCTACGCAGAACTTGACATGAAGGCCTCTGTAGCCCAGTCGGTGGCCTGCTTCAAGCCCTCGATACTGGACCTGAAAACCCGCTCATGCTGGGAAGTCAGGACAACCAACCGAACTGTGAGTGGATCTGCGAAGTACTTTTCAAAAAGCACGCAAGGTTACATCTCAGACATTGTGGCGTAGCTTTGTGTCTCGGCTTGCCAGGTTGCTTGGAATGCCATGACCGCCGTCAGTGCACAAATGAGGAAAGCAAACGCCAGCTGGAAGTGGAAGCTTTCCTAGTGCGCAAGGCATTGGCTGAATGCTTCGATCGTGATACCTGTTGTGCCCTTACCGGACAAAAGCTAGGTCCCTTGCCAACCTCACCAGTTGGGCACAACTTGCTGGAGCAACATCAGAGCGGTCTCACAAGCTCACATAGAGTCATATGGATGATGACAGCGACGAAGTTAAACTTTCCACAATTGCCACAACTGCAAGTTCCATGGGCATTGGCTTCTTCCGAGACTCTGTGAACTGGCGGAGAGATCCGCGAGCACCTTCCCAGAATGCCTGCCTTGGTGCAGCAAGGCACTCTTCTAAGAGGCACCAAGAAGCAGACGGCAACATCAGAGCATGCTGCCGTGACTAGAGCTGCTTAGTGCAGCTGGGCTTGTCAACCAAAGAAATGCAAAGGCGCAATAGATCGCTGCTAGTCAAACCCTTGCAACCCAACAGAAGCGCTTGCTCCGAGGCAGAAAACAACACAAGCAGGATGGAAGGCAACCAAGGCCACGACGCTTCGGCAAATGAAGCCTCATCATCCGAAAAGGCACATAGTCACTTCGTGTCACTGCAATGTCTAGTCTAAGGGGGCTGCGCTAAGGTTATCAACACAATAAAATTAGAAAATCTTGGAGTTGACTACTGCAACATGCAGTTCCCTTGTAGCAGGCCAGCAGCAAGCTTCCTTTGTGCAAAGATCTTCTGTGACACGGACTTGGTGGTCCTGCCCGTTCACGATGGGAAAACGCGCTACAGAAATGGCAAAGGTACATCTTCAGCGCATGATCATAATCCGCTGCGGCCCCAGGCCGCTGGAGTTTGGGCGGGGCAGCTTTTGTTTGGGCGTGAGCCCTGCGTAACTCCACGGAACACCTGCAGGTCAGGCCTCAGGTTCTGGTCATTCCAGTGGACTCCCAGGGTTATGGGATGTTATGGGCTGGTGCCTCTGGGATGGCTTCCTTCTCCTACCTCCTGACTACCCTCCGTCCACCCGCCTGGCTTCGCTCTCCCAACCGCACCACAAACCGACCTCATGCGCTGTAGAAGACTGACGGCACAAATGTATGCAGGTGCAAGTGACAACAACTAACAACGGACAGTTGCCTCATTCTTGCCTCCGATTCAATACCACTGGTATGTTAACTAAGGGATACCAAGGGTATTTCCCTCAGCGGCAAAGCAGAAGTCAAAGAACTACATATCACAGATCATCTAGCCCTCATCCTCCGCACCCCGACTTCTCATCTGTCTACTCGTTAGCGCAGTCACACAAGCAAGGGGCGCGCCAGCCCAGCTCGAGCCAGGCCGAGGCGGGGCGCGCGGTTGCGTCAAAATAATTACAGTGTCCAACGACTGGGACTATAAAAGCTGAAGGCCTCGTTCCAGTGGCACTAGTTGCCCTGCTCTGAGAGTTCCCAGAGCTTTCTCTGGAAATCCTTCTCATCGAGATGCGACTTGGAGATGCCTGCCCACAAGACAGTCTTACATGATGGTGTAAGATTCAGCATGTCCTTCGTGCATAGCCACCTTGAGCAAGGAGACGGAACTGTTACCACAGGAAAAATTGGCAACCGTGCGACAGTCCTCCTTCACCCCCAGATTGACGAGTTTCATGTTGATGTTGTCTGACATGAGCTCCACTCGGCGGCGTAATGCCTGAGGAGGGTTGGAAGTAAGCGCATGTTCAGGTATAAAGGAAGCACACTGAAGCAATGAAAGGTGTCACTGCCTCACCCTCGTAAAGGAGACGGGCCATGTTCAAGCTGGAGGCGGGGCCGCTCAGCTTCTCCACACCGTGGATCATCTCCTCGACGAAGGATACCAGCTACGAGCAGATACGATTGCTGTAACCCCATCCGACTTTGATGACAGAAAGGCAGCTGAGCACCAGCTGGACGTCCTAAAATACAAGCTTTTCGGGGGGACGGAGGGGGGAGGCGGGGTTGGCGATTAGGTCGGTTCCCGGGCTGGGTCCCCGATGGACTCGTCATAGTACTGCTGCACTGCTTTCTGGTGCCCTGGACGGATTTACAATCATGTTGTATAATGTCTTTTACAGTGTGCTTGCAGTGTTTTACCAAGGTTTTGGGCAGTGGTTGTGGATTATCTTGGGTGGCGTGGGGCGGGTCGAGATTTGGATGCTTCGGGGCTGTTCTTGGATCAGTTGAGCGAGGGATTTGCTGGGCTCGGCCCACTCATGCCCCCTCCTGGTGCTTGCTTCTTTCCAGTTGCATTTGGGGGCCCTGTTCTGGTGAACCATAATTTCAATGCTTTTTAGAAAGGCGTTGGGAGGGCATTTCACAGTTGACAATCAGGACCAGTCTCGCTGCGGACTCCATAAGGTTCTGTGTCTTGGACATCGGGTGGGTTAGGGTCGGCGAGATTTGCGTGCTCGGATCGGTTCCCAGGCTGGGTCTTGGATGGACTCAGTGGATCCCGGGCAGGGTCTGGGATAAATTCAGCGCAGGATGCCCCCAGGGTCACCCAGAAGCAGTACGCTCTGATTTGTTGTGCTCGTTCCGGAGAGGTTTAACGGGTGTTTGGTGCCGCATTACACTTTTTTTCCTAGGCTTTTGAATGTTGGGCAGAGCTTAGAGTGGCATTGGGAGAGTTTTGGTCGAGATTTGCATGCTCGTTTCCCAGATTAGTTGAGTGAGGCAATTGCCCGGTAAGATTCAACAAGCCCAGCAGTGGCGCACTCCAATTTTAGGGCATGTTTTGGGGGGATCTGGAGGCATTGTGCAGGCGTTTGGTGATACATTTGGGGGGTTTTGCAGCGTTGTTCTTGTGGCTTTCGGATTTGGGGGTCAGAGAGCAAGAGAATGTGGCCGCGGGACGGTCCAATTTGCCAGGCTGTGGCTTGTGGAACATTTCGCATACATTTCTCGGCATTTGCAATGCTTTTTGCAATGTTTTGGGGGCAGTGCTTTTGGGAGAAGTGTGGCGGTCGGGCGGACTGATCTGCATAACACTGGATCCGTTTCTAGCTTTCATGGCTAGCACAAGCCATTGGCAGTTAAAACCAGTGCACATGCGACACCAAACACCTGTTAAACGCTTCCCAACGCCTTTCAACAAAGAACTATGAGGTTTGGTGATTGGTGCGCCAGAACAAAACCCACAAGTGCCGGCAAAAAGAATCGCACGAGAGGCCCCCAACGAAAAAAAATCACGTAGATTTCACGATGTCCAGCTTCCGCTGGGTCACTCGCCACCCTAAACCCCGTCCAAAGACCTCCGACGGGCGCAGTCAGGGGGTTGGGGGTGTGGGTGGGGGGCAGTCCAGACACGTGTTTGCCTTAGTGCTTTGTTGTTTGATGTTGTTTGGTTATGCTGGTGTCTTTTTTGGGGAAGGATTGGGCGGTCCCCATGGCCGGCTTGTGGAACATGTCACATACGTGTCTTTGGCAGTTGCAAAATGTTGCAAAGTTTTACGCAGTTGTTGGTGTTCGAGGTTTTTGGAGCAGTGGGGGCGGGGCGGGACGCGTCAGCATCATCAGGGATCCGTTGCTCACCCCCAGGCCATGGCCAGCAGAAGCATTTATTGCTAGTAGGCGCGGATCAGGAGGAATCGCGTGTACACATCATTCAGCACAGGATATCCTGCACATTTCAAGTTGTCGATCCCACGCGTGCGCAAGCATTAGCAGGGTTCGAGCGGAAGCGCGCATGGATGGATTTGATTGGCAGTAGGTTTCAGCGCAGATTGTAAGACAAGTCAGTTCACAACATGGTCCTCTTGTGGTTGTGTCATTGGGTGTCCCTCATTCCAGTGGCCTCAGGTAGCCAAACTTGCAAGACCGTGATCATGGAACACTACGTTGCATCCGGCTTTGCAGCAGAGTTTTACGCGTTTGTTGGGAGTATTTCTTGCGGGCGGGCATCTTGGGGGCCTGTTCCTCGCCGTGAGTTGGCTGGGCTACCCGGGAATCTGCTGTATAGCTGTGCATGCTGGGGGCAGCTCGGGCGCATCATTGGCAGTGAGGGGGGTCCATATTTGGGTAGCCAGCAGAAGCATAATAACAGGGGTCCAGATGCAGTGTGAAGCTGGGATTATGCCCAGGCAATGTGTCCACAGCATCCCAGTGCGTTTGTATCTGACTCGCCGAAATTGGTCTGGAAGGTACCAGGTGACGAGCATTCTGCAGTCTATGCTAAGTCTGCTTCCTAGCAGTACGCATTCTTTCCTGTGCTGCATAAAATTGCGAAGAAAATTGCTTGACGATGCACTAGCGGTAAACACGGCTTCACCAGGACGACTCTCCCAGATCCCGCTCTGAAGACAACATAAAGCTGCACGGGATGTGAGCTTGTTCCCTTCTGAGCGCGTGAAACGGACAAGGTGAAGTCGAACACAAGCAGCACTAGCAGACCACAATCTGGAAAGGGACTCCGTAAGCAAGCCGCAAGCCGGCCCACGGCTCGCCTCCGCACTGAGGTCGCCCGTCTCGTTGATGCAAAGGAGGTCAAAAATGTCCTTCCAGCGACAGTCGTGAGGTGTCAGGCAACGGACCTTGAGAGACCATGTTGGTTGATGCGTGCAGCCAGGAAGCATCGGCAGCCATGACAGACGTGTCAAAGCCCATTGCACTCAACCATCTTGCAACCTCGCATGGCTCGCATGGCTCGCTGAGAGCTGTGAAGTGGCACCTATACATTGCTTGTGAAACTTCTTTGGGATAGGAAGCTTCTCAAAAACAGAGGCACCCTCAGGATACACACAGATTAGGACAAGGGGACTTAGGTGCCCTCCTTGCAAATCATATGGGTTCGATAGTGCGGCTTGCCCAAGTCCATTCAATGAGCCTCCAGCCCTAAACCTAGCAATGCATCAGTCGTGTGCGCGCCGTGAAGCGATCGGGTCCGCCAAGATCTCTTGAAATTCCTGACGGTCTAGTCGGCCATCGCCATTTTCATCAGCTGCTTCGAAGAGCACCGCCCTGAAGACATCCCGCAAAAAAAAAAAAACAAAAGCTGTGAAGGTAGACATGGCTGTAGAAATCCAAGCCAAGGCTCATTTTCTGCTTATGGGTCTGCAGAGATCTGTCTTTGGCATTCATCATGATCCTGAAAGGCAAGCAAGCACCTTCTCAATACCTTTCAGTACATGCTGCGTGCTGTGAAGCCACACGTCATCATTTGCAGCTACTGCGAATGTGTTCTGGAGGAAAACACCCATGATGACCTCGAAACAAGCAACTCTAATCCTTGAAGGCTGTGTGTCATGTCTTTCATGGTAGGTTTGCAGCTGTGTTCAAGAGCTAAGAGCATCACCTTCACCACAGAAAATCCCATGGAAGCTTGAAAGGCCAGCACAAATATAGTGTAGTACTCGCTGACATATTCCTTGGCTACGCAGCACTGCAGTTGTAGCGCTCTTCAGCTGCTGACTCTGGAATCTTTTCCCCATGCTCTATGACTCTTGGGCAGGAGCTTGGCGAACATCCTATTGCAGTAATCCTCCCACAAGCACATGTGCCGCCGCAAACTCCAGAACAATCAGTGACATCCGGAACTTGGCTGCTATCCACCCCTCAGCTTCTCTGACAAGAAGCTGTTAGCACGCGGGAGGCCGGGACCCAATTGGCCAGCGTCAGCTCTAGAAGGGTCCTCAAGCAATACGAGAAGCGGATTTCTCTCCCGTAAATCTGACAGATCTGCGTCCAAACTGCTTGAGGTCGTGTGCATGTAGTGTTCTTTTTTTTTGTTTTTCACATGTTGGCTTTGTTGACCGCAGTTATTCATTACACTTCCTCTCCGCCTAATTCATCAACTTTGCAGCAGCATCTCTAATAGTCTGCCAATTCATGCAGTCCGGGCATAGCAGACATTTATAAATGAGTACTGAATGACACTGAAAGACATGGCTGAAAAGGTTCGTCAGTCGGCACAACAAGACATGCCGACAGGCAGCAGGGCACAACGCGTGAACGTGCCGTAGTAGGCAAACACCTCCATCCTGCGCTCCACAGGATTGTTCTCGTCGTTTATGTACACTTCCACGAGAGTGGTCAGGACCAGGGCTATTGTCCTTACTTCTGCATTCAACAATCCCAGCTGTGCACCAGTAAGTACTTCACACCGGTTTGGCATATCACATTGCAAGATAGGCGCGTCAGCACTGCGAACAGGAGAACAGTAGACCAAAGAAGGGCAGAGAAGCTAGCTTTGATGGACGTGACCTGAGGCAGAAAATTCGGAAGCACGGCTTCATCCGCAGTTGCTTGCCAGACTCAAAAGGCAGGCAAGGTCCACGCCATAATGTATAGTGAGTCGAAGCCCTTCACCTTCCTGTACAGAGACAACAACAGATATTCACCAATTCACCGAACACTCAAGGCACTTAATTGTCGTACATGCTTGAGGGCCTGATCAGCCGCAGCAGGCGAAAGAGCTTCACAAGGCGCGCTAATCGCAGAAGCATGGGATCCACGGGAAGGGTGGTCGATGTGGCAGTGTCGACCTGAATGCCACGATCTTTTGTGGGCTTTTCCCTGCTACTCCGTAAGCCGTAAGTCGTGTCTACCTGTTCTCAGCTTCTCGCATCCTCCCCTCTAATAATTTCCACTTAGTTGGTATGCTTCGATGCCCTGTGCAGCTCAGTTACAGCCCAGGCTGCAACAACACACCTTGGACAAGTGCAAAGCAAAGACACGCTTCGGCAGCAGCACAAGCACATGCTGCAAAATCTTATGACCGGAGATAGTGTCTGCAATCTGCAGCAACATCTGAGCGCCGTACAGGTCAACAACGTTCCAGACATCGCAGAAGAAACGACTGCGCGCGGCTATCATCCTTGCTGTAATTTCCTGGGTGCTGCGCTTGCATACAGGCCATTGCCCCGCATGATCGAAGCAACTTGTTTGTGGGTGCTTTCGATGCAAAGCTTGCTGTCAATGCAGCAAGGAGTCTAGAGCAAATATCACCTGTTCGACAAGGCACGACTTGCGATGATGACTGGCAGATCAACAAGTCACATCGAGCTGACAGGATCCGCTCGCATGTACCCTGATACCTCAATCGCTGTGAGGTGCCGAGTGGCCCCGATGGTCAATTCCATGACATTGAAGACCAATGTGGCTTCTGGCCAGAGCTCGCTGGCCGGGCTCGTCATGCCAAAGTAGGCGATACCATAGCCTTGAGTGGACACTAAGGTAGATGATTGTCCCTGAATGCTGAAGCTCGATGCATGTAGCATGAGTGACAATGGAATCACCATGCTTCCTGATCTGTGCAGTCAGGCCACCAACATCCAGGCCATGATATTGCACTTGCAAGGCCATCACCTCAGGCTGCTTGGTCTGCATCTTGCCTGCCCATGTCTTCTTGCTTGCTGTTGCCCTGAGGATCACTCGATGCTGCTGAGGAGGATGAGCACAGCCTTGCCCAGGCTGGCCAAGGCATCGCAACAGCAAATCTCAACATCCAAAGTTATGCGATGATTATCCTACTCGGGCACAGGCAAATATCAGGTCAAAGGTTGGCGACTGGACAATGCGCGTGAAGAAGACCGACCAGCGAAAAGGACCTGCAGATCATCGCTGCTAGGGGACCGGTTGCAAGGGCTGAAGGCGATCTGAGGCTTTGTGTGGCACGCATAGCTCTACCTGCTTTTGTCAAGGTACCTCTGGCGGTCTCCCGTCCCAGGTCGGACATGCGGGATCCTGATCGCAGCCTGCACATTTTACACGTGTGCTTCGTTGCCCTGCTTGCAGGGCAAGACCCATCATCTTGCGAGGTGTTTAAGGCCCGGTCAGATTTCGTATGCGGTGATAGCCTTGGCAAGGCGACAGACAGTCTCCAGCATTTTGTTTTCAAGACAACCTGCAAGCATCCCAACGTCTTCCATTGTCTGCCTGCGGGAAAGCCACTGGCTGGTGCGAAAGTACTCCCATGTCTTCGTGTATCCAGCTCGGTTGGAAGGTCGCCGCTGCCTGCGACTATGCACTTCTTTCTCAAAAACAGGCCCCAAACTCTAGAAGCAGCAGAAGAAAGACGAAGCCTGTGAGGGTTGGCCTCTCGCACATGACCTGCCAAGGGCTTGCTGTCTTTGAGATGCCTAATGATTTAATTTGAAGACAGTCATCGCCAGTCACCACACTAGGCCTGAGCATTGATCGTGCCCGAGTCCAGGTGCGGTATAGCTGCTGCCTACTTTGTAGCCAGGACAGCGGCAGTTACCGTGATTTGTTTTGCCTGTTGCCTCTGCTTTATGGTTCCAGCTTATGAAGACCAGTACAGAAGTCCAGAATTAAAATCCAGACCAGCGCCTCATAATCATCTGGAGGCAATTGATATGTCAAGCTTGGCTGCGGTGGCAAGAATGCCTCCAGAAACCATGCTCATCGGACACATGCAGCTGTCGATGCATGCAGGCTGTGGCCTGTTGACTGCTGCTTTCTGCAGTCGCGTCGCCTGCCCCCACGCCCCCGCTATAAGCATCAAGTGTACAGGAATCACCACGAACATGCATGTCAGCAGGCCTTCCGCAGAGATGTCTTCATGTGGAAGTTCATCCCAGCTTTCTCGGACGACACTTGGGCGGCTGTATTCTGCACTGCGCACGTTCACACAAATATTGGCAAGCTGAGACCTGTAGTCTTCAATCTCTGACCTGAGCAGCAAGCCGACTCTGACCTATCTGCAACTGCGCAGCTGCCCGACATCGAGCACAGGCGTGGCTGGTCTGCGTACGTCTGAGTCATCTGCATTGCCTTCTCGATTCCGCTGCACAGCTCGGACACCACATCCATGGCTCCTTTGGAGGCACACTGGACATGGCCCGCGAACTTCTCCTCATCACCTGGCACGGCAACTCTCCACAAAAATTTTGACAAGAGAAGCACAGAAGCGCGATTCGAGATAGAAGTTGCCTGTGAGGGTTGCTATGTGCTCCCGGTGGAAGTGGACGGACCTCCGCGACTGCCTTGCGAGTTGGTAGTATTGCATGCTGTCGCATGGTGCAGCAAGATGTGTGCTGCAACTTTGCAGGGGCTGCAGGGCTGTGCATGGTCAATAATAACGTTAAAGGCCTGACGCTTTCGCCGACTGCCGACACCAGATTCCGGGACTCGATGAACTGTTCAGAGGCCCACGTGTCCTGTTCCTTCAGGGGGGAGCAAAGCAACAGAACCAAGAACCACAGCAGTGATGCAACAAATTGCAGTGACTGACTTGAGCTGTCAATGTCACACAACAGTCTTCGCAGCTGACAGCCTGAACTGAGCTTGGCATTGTTGTGCTTGGGTCAGTGCGAACAGTCAGCGTGCCGGCCTCGGTGTTGGCAGCCATGGATTGTCGAAGGATGATGGATGCAAAGCGGTGAATAAGTACTTCCGCAAGAGAAAGCTTTGGATGCATGGTGTGATGTTACGGTCGTATAGTACGGGACATTCTGGCCAGAGCGCAGGGTACCCACATTCAACCCAACAAAAATGCTGCTGGGCCGCACATGAACCGCCCTCACCAGGTCGACAGAAGCTGCAGGACAGAGAGTCGATCCCCAAGTCCGCAGTGGCACTAGGTCGGCTCAGCGGAATGAACCTCAACAGCCGTTTACATCCGTTTACATCTCATCTCCCAAGTTCATATGAAATGTCCAAGCGGAGGCACCGGTGGCTCTTGACTATCCTCTGCATGGGCAGAGGAAGTGCAGCTGCATCGCGGTCGCCTTGCATCACGAAACACAGTGGCCAACCATAGCAGCTGCAGTCAATTCTAGGCCACGGCCGAGCCTAGCCTGCACAATGTGATTGTGCATGCCAGGGCACCCGAATCTCGCCCCTCTGCGCAGGCTTCGCAGTCTGCATCCAGGGGCTCAGCTGCTGACGAGTCGGGGCCATCAGCTGAAATTGGTGAAACGACCATTCCGTCATGTCAGTGAAACCGAGGCTGCCAGCAGCCCTCTTGGGCCAAAATTGGAATGAACAGAACTCCTGAACATTCTAACGGCTAACGCCTAGCGGCCTAGCGAGATCTACACTCGACAGACTAAAAGGCACACCTTGTCAGCACGATGGACATAGACAGTCTGCAAGCTCGACCTATCAGCAGCTTCTGAGAGCGCAGCATGCGCTCAACACCATGTCCTGACAGGGCACTTCCCAACTTTCTGCAAATGGCTCTCCCACGGAAAGTTTGAGGCTTTTTATGCCAGAGCACCCGCATGAAATACTGCAATGTCTTCTCCGCGGACTAACTTCAGTAGGATATCTTGTAGAATCTCAGTCTGTGCAAGTTGCTTCCGGCGCACGCGTGCTGCGGACTGGTTGAGCCAACCGCATGCATGCTGCGTGCTACTGCAGTCTCTATCACTACTCATTGTACACTCGTTCAACATCGTGTAGCGGTCAGACGTTTCAGCCGCTTCATCATCCACTGGTTAACTTCCTCATGCTCATCCACCACCTCTCGTGCTAATTCCTGTAGGCATCTGCAAAGATCCACCTCACTAGCATCGCGTGCACCTTCCACAAGCTTTCAAGTCTTCATGAGCTGCACAAGATAGGTGAAATGCATGTCCCTCCCACGAGAATCAATGACAATGGAACATAATGGACTATTTGCTTCAGCATGCAGGCTCCTGCATTTCGCAACGGTACAGCCTGCCGCCACATGCGCCAAAATGCGATAAGAAGGTCACGACCAAAGTCTCCCACCTCCCTGGAGCCCGCAGCTGCAGCAGCTGCAGTCTGTGCCAGCTTCTCGTCACTGCAGGGGTAGCGACAATCTCTCGCCGCATGATTGTCTACGTGCGCTGCTCTTCAGAATCTCACCTTAAAGCCAACATGTGCCGTCAATCCAACCTGAACGTCGAAGGCGCCACTCCGGCAGTTGACGATCGCCTGAAGTGTGGCTGAACGCGCATCCAGACCCAGTACCTCAAAGCTTGATCTTATTCAGCGCCAACTGGCACGTAGCTAGCAAATCCTTGCATTCGTGAAGGCATACACATGTTGACCAGCATGCTGCCATGACCACATACAGAACTTAATTGCATACATTTCTGACCACTAAGGTGCGCGCGACGGTGACGGTGATCCCAGCCTTGCCAAACAGCAGGACAACGCAGGATTGCGAATTGCAACATTGGAAGTCTCCGCCATGGACCCCGGTACTCACTGTACTGGATTTGACGTGGAAGGACTGGCCACAAGCTCAAATATGTTCTGAGAACACCTGAAACCCCAAAAAAGCAAAGAATCTGCATTTCAAGGTCACCTGCTTGGCCGATAGGTGCCAGTCCTCTAAGCTGCTGGCACAAGCCAAGACCATCGTTCGTATGCTTCCCACCTGGTATGAGAGCTGAGCGTTGCAAGCGCGACAAGCAATCTCCGGCCAACTGGAGATGTCTGAAACGTTCGCGCCAGCAACAAGGCGGCGGGGCATGAATGGGCACTCCTGTAAACATCTGGCATAACACTCGACAGCTTGTTCTCTGCGACCTTGCCGCTCCTGCACCTGCCAGCAAGTAACGCAAAACCACACACCTTTCCTTAGTCACTCAAAACCACACACCAACTGCTGAGCCTTGCCTGACCAAGAAGAAAGAGGCCCGCCGCCCCGTTGACTACCTCGTTCAGGTTGCCTTAGCCATGTCAAAAGCGTGTCATCAAGCAAATGCTTCTGCGCTTCTGCGGGCCGCCTCCAGCGCTGGAGGGTAGCAGGGCGTCTTCTGCGAGGTCCCAACCTGGGACAGGGGATTGCCACGGGCGGAACGGTCCCCAGAAGTTCGAAGTACGTGATGATGAGAATGCAACGTTTTAGTTGTGAACAGCACTTCGCAAGCAAATACCTGGCAGCGTGCAAGGAGCAGCAGGTGCAATCCTTCCAGGAGATCGCCTAGCCTTGCTTCTGGGAGCTTGTTGCCCTGACAGCCGAGCACATGCTTATCGCAAGATCTGAAGCTCTGCGCTGCGCTATGCGTTCTCGAGTTTTGTCATCGTGCCGGCCTGCAGATGCCACTGCGCCCTGGCAAGTTCCTGCGCACTGGCATAACGGCTCAGAACTCTTTGACAGGGCTGCCATTACGCTTTCTGGTCTCTCCACCATGCTTCCTTGCCCTTGCAACTATGCTTATGTCAACTTATGTCTGTGACGATTCTCATGAATCCAGGACAAGGCTATGTGATTGATTGTGTGAGGTAAGGCTAAGGGCCTAAGATCACAAGCGAAAGAGGCAAGTTGTGCTGCAATGTCACCCTGCTTTCGCAGTTATTCTAATGGCAAATTCTGCCAGCTGCAGTCAAATCGAATAGTCCAGAGAAACCTGCGGCAGGTCCTGATTGTGGAAATATGCCAGACCCAGGAGATACGTCCTTGTGCAGCACAACCCACATCAACTCTCAGCCAGTGCTCATGTCGCGGGGCCACGAGGACGAACCTCTTGAATCCTGGAGTGCAGCCTCTGCCACAACCAAGAGGCTGGCGTCTCATCGCATGGCCGTTCTGCCACGAGCCGCTCGGCATAGAAGGCCTCCAACAATGCCAGCAGTCTGCAAAAAAGCGTGCGGCGCAGCCTCGAGGCGCACCGCTTGCTTCCAGAGCAGGTTCTTCAAGGAGTACTCAAAGGCGAGCTTGGCCTGCCGAATGCAAACATCATTCCAAACTCATTCACAACTGCGAGAAGGCCTGGCTCACGAAGGAAGTGATTGCCGGGCTGATTGCCGGGCTGGAAGGCACCGCCTCAACCTGTGCATTTGTCGGTACTTGTGAGTTGACAGTTCTCATCCTGATCTCTCTTATCGTGCCTCCGGCCGCTCCATGCACTCAGTTCATGCCTTGCTAAACGGTCAGAATCAAACCACAAGCATCGAGTCCACTTAGAGTTTTGGAGTCTGGCATCTGCCCTGTCGTTGGGCAGCACAATTAAACGAATTTGTTTGAGGCTTCACGTGCAGCGGGAACGGCATGCTCAATGCATAGCGGATGGTATCTCATGGCTCAGGCAGGCTAGATCAATGAAGATGTGAGAAGGCGGGCAGATTTTCGAGCGTCAGCAATCAGCAATGCCTGGCTAGATAGGGATGATTGCCTGGCGGTTGCCTGCAGGGGGATGGGAACCAACAGACCACATGCTGCATCGTAACAGTCGAGTTCCTTGCTTAGCGTTCTGCGTTCACACTACCCAACAAACGCTAGCTCTCTGCCAAGGATGCAGTGCCTTCTCCAGCAACGTGTCCTTCCATGACCAGCAATCCATCCTGAGCTAGGCACGTTGGTGAACAACTTCAGAAAGAACTCTTTCAATTTATCCCGATTATGGTGTTCGCCTGTTGAAACGCACTTTCCAGAGTTGTCGCGGCGCGTGGCGCATGCTTGAACGACAGCAAGTACATTTGGCAGACATTCATGCAGCACTCTTCCGCGTAGCAGTTGCGAAGACACCTGACTGTCTGCAGATATACATATAACGACATGAATAGTGAGGCCAAGACGCTGCTTGGAATTCAAAGCGCGAAAATCTCAATCTGTCAGGTAAGCCAAGGCCAGCGAAGCTTCCTATCGGTGCCCAGAATTGTGGCAACGGCCAGCCGGGAGTTACCTGCACTTGTCTCGTCTCCAAGCCTCCCACAGCAAGAATAAGCCTTTGCCTCGATAGATGGGTCATCCCAGATGATGCACTGGCGTCCGTCAACTTCTCCAAGCGAGACCCCCGTCCTCGGATCAGACCGTGAAGACACAAATCCATATGATATTTAGCTCTGAGCATGCAAGCGAATAAGAAGGATGCTTGAGTCCCATGCGGCACGACATGAATACAAACAGAGCACCTCAGACTATGAATTGTGGATGTTCAGAGCAGGAGTCTTCAGACGATATTGGAAGACCGTCTTACCCGGCAGGTTCGCCACTGCGTCCAGGATGAGGCAGGACTCTGAGACCTGGCTACGACACCTACACGTTCCTAGTGTCTTCGATATGCATAGCCTACCCGGCTTTCCTCAACCCCTTGTCCTCCCCGTCACAGCTGTTTGATCGTATGCAACGGCCTTGCCTAAAGTCATTCCTGCCTTCAGACCTTTCACCTCGAAAGATGTAGCGGCAGAAAGTTCTCCCGAGACTTCTCGAGGGAGTGCCACCAGTCCTTCGCCGGAGGTTGAACGGTGTATGTGCATGTACTGCGAGGCCAGTGCATCACACAGTGGCCCTTTGTGTCCTGCAACGCTATAGTTCATGATGTCTCGCAGACCAGCTGTGACCACAGCTCTCCACAAGCTGCCTTGGACGTCTTGTCGGGCAAATGACTTACGGCTTCGCGGCAAGTCAGCAAGCTGGTGACAAACCCTGAGCCAAGGCACAATTCCACAGATCTTCTGCGGAGAGAAAAGCTGTGAAGCTGGTCTCGCTTTTTGCATTTTCTGCAGCAGCTCTGCTGGGCACTACGATGTAGAGCATCAGTAAGCCAACAAGAGCAAGAAGTGGTCGAAAAACCAGCATCGCTGGCATGATGAGCCAGAAGATCGGGTTGAGGCGGAAGTTGACCTTAGAACCCATGTATCTGATATAGATAGTGCCTGAGTATGTCCAGAACTATTTGCTCAGCTGAGAATCCATCTGGCAGTCTATCTCCGCCTTGCGCACATGAAGCCATCGGCTGGCCCGACTCAAGCTGACACGCGCTCTATCGAAGCGGCCGAGCAGGACATCGACAACTGTTCTGCCTGAGCTAGCAGCTAGATGCAGCTAGCGCATTCAATGTGATCCCCGCACAAAGATTAGGCGAACACAACCTGCAATGCTTTTTTGTACATACTCCTTCCGTTCCTATCACAATGCGAGGCATGCAGAGCCAAGGTGCTTGTCAGCTTTATGCTGACATCCTCTGGGGCAAAGCACAACCTGGCAAGCAAACGCAGAACCAGCGCAGTTGCTGCCAGCGACTGACTCCTGAAGGCAGCGCGTCTGCCAGTCTTGAAGCTTCGCGCATTAGATGCTCTGTAGTCGCTCGCTGCAAAGTACTAGTGACTAGTGGAAGGACATAGGACACTTTGGAGGAGCATCCTGGTCGTGATCTTTTAGGGCAAGCGACCGGATGTCGTTTAAGCAGGTCCGTCCTCGCTCCCTGCCACCAGCCTCTTTGTCTTGTGGCAGGCTCACTAGCCCTCTTCGCGGAGGCCAGTGGTTGAAGACTGAAGCCACCTCCTCAGGGCGTAGCTTACACGTAACAGTCTCAGAATGAAAGCCTTGTGATCGTTTGCACCAACGGGAATTAATGAATTGTTGGGTGGGTGGCCTTTTCGCTCTGGCTTCCAACACGGCAGGAGAGGCACAGGCAGCTGCGGCACGCGCAGAGTAGCCGGTGTCGCTGGCGCCGCCACAGCTCGAAGCTCCATTAAACCGAATCTTGAATCTTCACTTCTGCCCCTCACTCTAGCAAATTTTGCAGGCCTAATCCTGTGGACCAGTTGAACCTACGTCATCCCTCCATCTCTCAAAAGATGTCAAACAGATTTTGGATTTTAGATGCTTGGCTTACAACTTGAGAAGCTGCAAGAGGCAGCATGAGGAGACCATAGTTTCGGCAACCACTTTGGTGCTCGCGAACGCCGCTAGGATCTCTGACAAGCTCCTTGAGAGAACCGCCAGTTTACGAACTCCTGAGCACGTTTTACTTGCAATGATCGCGGCTGTCCTTTCTGAAGAGCATTCCTGCCTGCTTACCAGCCTCACTCCTGTCCACTAGCTTGGATACTTTGCGCTCAACTGCCTCCTCATTGGCTGCTTAAATGCGCCGCCGGAATAAGTGGCTGCCCCTGGGGGGTTCGCTGGGGTGTTCGAACTTCTGGTGCTGCACTGGTCCAAGTGGGGGAAGCTGAAGAGTGAGGCTTGGTTGCCTTACCCCTTCCAGTGGTGGTAGCAAGAGCAGTCAACTGCGTCCAAAGCTGCATAGTTGCGACTGCAGCAACTGCAAATGATTCCAACCACTCTACTGCCCTTTTGTGGCGTCCGCTGAGGAGGCATCCGTGCCCTCACCCTCAGATGGGCAAGGAAGGCTTGGGTTTTTGCTCTGCTCGGATTCTTGCATCTGCTCGTTGAAAAGCTCCAACTCCTCCATAGCTCCACCACGCTCCTCCTTGCAAGTTGGCGCATAAACAAACAGTGAGAGGACTGCTGCAAAGGCCCGGGAATGTGATACAAATATGGGCAACACCACTAAAATGCACAGACTTGCTTGTGGCCACTCATCACTGTTTCTGCCTCGCTCTCTATCTCTCTCGTCGTATCGCTGTACCGAGACGTGCAACTCAGAGAACCAAACAATCTCAAGCTAAAGTGAGGTCCCCTGGTCTAGTCGGCGGAGAATCATAAACCCAAAACCAAACAAACACCGCAAAAATTAGAAACCTCAATCAATAGTGGGTAGCCGTTGTTGTTGTCGTAGTAGTCGTAGTCGTAGTCGTAGTCGTAGTCGTAGTGGTAGTCGTAGTCGTCGTAGTCGTAGTAGTAGTAGTAGTAGTAGGAGTAGTAGTAGTAGTAGCAGTAGTAATAGTAATAATAGTAATAGCAATAGTAGTAGTAATAGTAGTGGCAGCAGCAGCAGCAGGAGCAGCAGGAGTAGTAGTAGTAGTAGTAGTAGCAGCAGGAGTAGTAGTAGTAGTAGTAGTAATAGTAATAGTAAGAGCGGCAGGAATGCTACCCTAGATCTGGGTTGCTCCTTGCCTGTCGGAATAATGGTTTGTAGATTGCCAGCGAAAGCAAGAATACTAGAAATAAGAGTGCTAGTGTGAGAGTGCTGGTGAGAGTCACAATATTAATCATGCATTGATAACATGGCAATGAAAGGCTTACTTCTTAGTAGTTAGCAACAGAAACATTACAACACTATCACGAGTAATACGAAAACGCCTCTTAGTGGTAATAGTAATATCAACAACAATACTGACTTACCGACAAGCTGAGATACAAATTCCCTGGGAAGTCATACTTAGAGCAATACTAGCAATACTAAAGTGCACATTTTCTTTGTGTAGAATCTTGATAAGAAGAGAAATGGTAATATTGTTACATGAAAGAAGTGTAGCAATGACACTGCACTACCTGCTGCCGAGCAATAGGAAACTTAGAGTAGAATCATAAAATTTCTAGAGTGCTGCTAAACTGCCTACAGCTTACTCATGGCAAAGAAATATACTTAGGCCAACGTAAGAACACTGAAAGTATAGTAATAGCCACATATGGAAAGCGCGGAGAGGAATATGAAACCGGCTGTTGCCGCGCATTACTTACGGACAACGCGGAAAGAAATATGAAACCACCCATTAGTTACACTAGCAAGCATGACAGAAATGCTCAGTTACCGAGAGCCCGTAAAATTACTGATGCTGATGTACGACATTGCTGGGAGTAGTGGTGCTCATAATAGTATTACTGCTAGGAATTGCAATTCCTGAGAATACTGAAAGGAACGCTGAGTTGTCTCTTGCTTAGGTATGGTTATAGCAAAAGCAGGAATTACAACAGTGTTCTGAATTACCGATTGCCCGTGACAGCAATACGATGCATGGTAATGGTAACGCTGAATCGTTCTTTTCTGGATAATCGAATCATGACAAGACACATCTACACCTATATTCTGAAAAAGGTGGTTGTCGCGTGGCTACCCCGCTCCTCAGCAACGTGTTCAGGCTTTCGCAAGAAATCCTCGGCACATGCACCAGCAGCAGCTGGAGATGCGAGGAACACCTGCCGCGCTTCGTGGATCTCGTCAGAAACCACAAGCTGCGGCACCGCAGACGGATCGGCAACGACTGCGAGGCTACCGGAACTGCTGCAGTCTTTCATGGCTGAGCCACTTTCTGATGTCTGCCAGCGCTCCTTGGGCCGCGGCCTGTGCACATATCTGCAGCGGAAGAGGCAAGTGGCATCCGGGCATCGCGTCAGAAGTGCATCGAACACTTTGTCGACATCGGCAAATGCGCTGCTTGTATCTTGGCCCACCCACGCTTGGGAAAGGTGGTGTACGTACCATCCTCGGGGGCACGTGCCCGTACTCCAGTCGAGCTGCAATACCTGCACCACGTTTTGCAATGGTGGCGAGAAAGAGCTGGGAGGCACAACACAAAGGTTCACCCCTTCCTCCCCTAGCAGCGGACTGTTCAACAGCACCGTCATACGCCTGCAGCTTGTCAAGTCTGACCCTGTATCCTCCACGCCATCTTGAGTGATATGGTCACATGAGCCAACGACGCTTGCAGTTCGTATGATCTCACCACGGTGAGTGACGACTCCAGTCATGTGCCAGCCCTTTTCCTCATCCTTCCGGGCCAGGAGATGGGTTGGACGAGTGCGAAGGGCGTAGGTTCCCCTGTGAAGTGCGCTCATGCGAGTGAAACCTTGTGCAATCTCCGCCACTCCATACATTGGGTATAGCAAAGGCATACTTGTTCCCCGGCCGTACATGCCAAGTGAAGACACAAATCTGCCAAGGCGTCGAAGGGCCTCATCACAAGAAAGCTCTGGCCACTGCGGCGACTGAGTCTCAGAGGACCAATCCCACAAACAAATGGAATACGTAATGAACTCCTGCAGTCTCTGGGAGAGCTGCTGCCGCTCCAGGAAATTCCGCCAGGGCTCCTGCAGGTTGATTCCCAAAACGCTGGAGTCCAGCTCGTTGGGGCCTTTAACCTTCCTGGCTTGGTCCACGCCCAGCTGGGCTGCAGACTGAAAGGCCAGGCTACCCACATAGGGCTGGACGGATGTAATGAATCGCATCAGCGTCCTCTTTTCCGGCTTGCTCAAATGTGTATCCTGAAAGATTTCGCTCTTTGTCAAAGGCACAGCGAAGAGACCGTCGGGCGTGAGGACTCTTGCAGATTTCAGGCCCTGAAACTCCAAGTACCTTCCAGGCTAGTAAGTATAGGTCTAGGCAGCGCCACGTACATAAATGTAAAAGCAGCTACAAGGCTTGATTAGTGTCACGGTGAAGCATTAGTGCTTTCTGTGACAGCTGCCTGAGCATAAAGCAGTTACATCCTTGTCATGCTGTTTGAAATCCTAGCAGCTACGTTGCATCTTTCAGGGCGGAACGGATTCTAAGAAAAAAACGAAAGTCCATGGGCTTGGACCCTGAGCTTGTCTCAGTCACATGCATACTTCTCTATTGCGTCGAAGATTGTCTAAGCATTTGTAAAGGTTTTAGCCGATGATTGGCAACACGGCAAGCAATGTCTCTTCATCGCTGCGGAAGACTGATACTTGACAGCTCCCCCCGGCTGCGTATGCTAGATCCAGTTCGGTACACAATACCTGGCCAGGAATTTCCCCCGATTACTGGTAGGACGCGCACGATCTGCTCAGGCCCTCGTACATATTTCCACGCTTTCCTCGAGGACTGTCCGAATTCATCTGTCGCATGGGCGCAGCAGCAGTGTTTAGTTATCTGTCATGTACGCACTTCTTAGGCACGCTAGGGTTCCCTCTTGATGTAACAAGCCATGTATGTTGATGTAATGGCTACGGGGCCCAGCACTTGTGTTTTCTCTTCGATGGCTGTCAAGCCAACTTGCCTTGCAACACCAGACTCAATCAGGACGTCTACGAACTCGCTTCGCCCGAAGAGCAAGCGTGGTACAATGTCCAGACCTTGATTTTTGACACTGAGTGCGTACATGCGCAACTCGGATGAAAGGCACCAAGGCATGCAGGCAAGACTGTTCATGGACAGTCGCATTGACAACGGCATTCGATGCTTAGTCCGTTGAGCAGAGATGCTGAAAGACGTCGGGCTCTTCAGCAATGCCCGCTTCTGCTTGCAAAGCTCTATTTCAGACAGCTTCCCAAACGGATCCCACTCCTTTGAAGCACACGGCGGGAAGCACATCAGAAGAACATCGGAAATCACATCAGCAGAAACCGTGCCCAAAGGTCATATCATTCCGAGACTGCAATTACGGTACATTTCCAATCACCCTCTGCCGACCAGTAGTCCTACACAGCCATACTTTCTCCAATAGCGAAATGAGCACGCTTGGAATCACTATGCTAGATGGATTCTAAAATCTGACAGCACGTGACTGCTCGACAAGGCTTCACCAACATTCAAGCAAGGCACAAAGCTGTGATCCATAAAGCAGCCATAGCTCGCATGAGCCGCCAATTTGAAAGCTGTGTCCCCGTTTGCTGTGGCTTCTGCCGGCAGACCAGCTTCAGGCTCAGTAGTCTCCACCTCAAAGTCATGCCTCAAGAAGCGCCCAAGCAAGCGTTCATGTTCCGTTGTCTAGGCCTCAAAAACCTGCCTTGGCCTGAAGGTCTCCCCAAGGCGTGCAGTAGTACAGCGTCGATGTAGAACTGTCCACGCCTCGAAGACAACAAAGATCAGCAGCGGACTCAAGAATCACATAGTCGCATCCAGTCGCCTGCTCTGGCAGGGAGCGGAAGTCGCCTCCCGCAACCTGAGCCGAGGCTCTGCCATGATTGTGCACACCGTGACCACAGGCAAAAATGTAGCCTGAAGAGTTCTTGCGCGGCAACTATTAAACTTCGAAGGGTATCGCTTTTGGTCGATGGCTTTACAAGACTTTTGCTCTTGCAAACTGGTTAACCTGTAGCTGAACAGGACTTCTGCTGCACTACTTCATACTAAGATTTGGAATTACCGCTGTTGAGGGGGCCAATCACCTGCATGAGCTGGGGGGATAACTGACCGCGTACCCATGGATTTCTATATCGTTCCGTGTCATTTCATTCATCAGCTCAAACCTACCATAGCATCAATGAGAGGGCGGAAGAGATCCCTCACTGAAGCGCTTTGTCAACACCATGATGAGACACCCTACTGTGTAAGTGCATGCAGTAGGCCACCAAGGCGTGCAAATTTGCACATCATGGAACATCATGTTGTTCAGGCGCGAAAGTGGCCCTCGCAAATCTTGGCAATCAGCCTCTGACACCGGGGTTTCGAAGCGTGGGCTTCCTCCCGCCCAATGAATGAACCTTGGCTGGTGCAAGGGGGTCTAGTCGGGAGGCCACTCTTCCATGCCAGGGTGCTCGGCCAGCGACAATGACCGCCAGCAGCCGCCGTAGGCTCCAGAAGCGTCGAGATGCAGCAGCCGGCGCCCAAGTCTGGCGAATGCGGCTGCGGCCACGCTCTCGGTCAGGCCAGTGCCCAACACGCAAACGTCCACCTCAAAGATTCCAGAAAAGGTCGTGCCAGGATTAGACTCAATCGTCCGGAACCTCGCATTCCTCGGGAGTCAGCAGCGCCATGGACGCTACTTCCAGCTCACAGATCTACGATTTCCAATGCGGTCTTATGAGAGTCCCGAAGAATTTGCTGGCCAATTATGTTGAAAAATGTCTTGCCTCAGCACTCGAAGCGCACGAAGTTTGAGCCTGATCTTCACTGAAGGCATGTTTGCACGTTGCGCCGCCGTCTGCACATGCCCAACAGCGAGATTGAATGTCAGGCGCAAAATACGTTCCTTTGATGACTCACACTGCACGCTGCGTTTGCTGCAACTTCTCACTGCCAAGCCGGCGTTTTCACCAGCGGCTCTCACGTCAGCTTCAGGTTCGCTCACCAACCCATGCCGGAAGTACACACTAGGTAGATGGAAAATCAAAACCACACCCAGCATCATACGGTTTCATAAAGATAGGCCAGGAGGGATTGGTAATCTCAGAGTCGGAGACCCTAGTTCCATTGATTTGCCAACCGCGATGATGTGGCTTCCAGTCTAGCATGATCTCGGACGAATGAATACCATCATGTCACCAACACTCTGTACAGCTCGACCCTTTTGTCGCCAAGAGGGGTATTCATGCTGCATGCTTCTTCGGGTGCTTGTAGCACACAGCAATTCCCAAGCATGCTACATAAATGCCGTACAGCCAGTACAACTTGAGGTCTCCAGAAGAGTCTAACAGTCATCCAAGGCTGTGTTAGCAGGAAGCTGAAGCTGTGAAGCATTATCATGTCCTCCGCGATCAGCCCTATGCCGGTCGGCCTCGGCTGGTTCATTTGGAAGCGGAAGCTTGCAGACTGCTGCTCAATTTGTGCACAAACACCTAGCTGTTGGCAAAGATGCCGATGCATCAATCCAAACCCTTCCCTTCGGACTAACTCAATGGCGACAAGACTGCACGTGCAACCAGCTCCAAATCCTTTTTCCCACCAGGCTGCAGTCTTTGCATTCGCAAGGGATTCTCTCCATGACATCATTCCATTCGAATCGCTAGTCACTACTCCTTCTGTTAGCCCTGGTTCGGCTGCCAGAGGGAAGGAGCCGAGGAGTTTGGTCAGCTCCCGCAATAGGTTTCAAGCGCTGGAAGCTGCCTCCAAACCACCCTGCGAACACGGAGGATGAGAGACATGTACTGCATTGGTAGCCTGGTAACTCAGACATGGGCTTTGGTTACACGGTTACCGTTTCTGCCAATGGTTCGAATTCGAATCCCTTTCCCTGCCTGCGTGTTTGATGCCGCCCTGGGCATGTGTCTCGGTTCCGAGGCCTGGCCCTGCTGCGGCTGCGGATGCTGCGGCACTTCGGGATGAAACTCTTCCTTCGTCCCAGGAAATGTGAGGGGGAAAAAAACAGCTCCCATTCGGATAAGCACATGCAAGCCAGGAAACGGATGAATCAGACGAGTCTTCCACCGGAGCAAATTGCTGCTCAACTTCCAACTGATCAGCACAGCGATTGGCAATGAAGTAGTACATGATGACCTGGAATGCAACAACTCGGCTGTCGGTAAGTCACTACGTCAGCAAAAAAGGTCTCAACCAGCACGCACAATAATCATCAGAAGCATGATCACCAGCCCTGCTGTCTAAGTGCCATCATTGGGAGCGTAAAGATCAAGTCCAGTATCAGGAAAGTTTCCAGCACCTGATGCAAAGGCGACCCTTCACAAGGCAATGAATCCGCATTGCAGCATTGAAGAAGCGAGCGTGGTCTGCGACGAATCTCCAAAATGGGCAGAAAGTCTTGGATTCCCTTGACTCCGCGAACTTTAGATGCACGACAAGTGTACTTGCTGCCATGCCTCATTGCGCACGGCGCAGAAGCCACATACGGTCTACTTGTCGAAAGGCCGCAAACCCTAATGAGTCATTAAGGTTTGAGGCCTTTCGACCAATGGCCCAATGTCAAGGAGGCAACACTATGCCTTGGGAGTCATGCCTGTGGGCCTTAGGCAGCACCTCTTGTCAGAACATGTCAGAACGTACACTGGCCTGATCCCGTGGCTCAAAGCTGCACACGACACGGGCTTCAAGTTGTGATCTTTGTCTTAGAGCAGCTGGTGTTTGCGTCCCTAGTAGTAGCTGCCAAAATGGAGATGCTTGTGAATGTGGCCAAAGCTTGTTGCACTTCCGGAGGTCCGGGTTGTTGTGCTCCGTACGGAGCGTGCCTGTGGAAAATTCAGAGCCTTTTGCGCAGCATAGTGTTTCGTTTTTTGCGCAGCAATGGAAGGATTGATGCCTCCGGCAAGAAAACACGCGTACTCTCCGAAACAGCGAGTTAGCTTTAAGCGACTTGTAACTGAAACCTCCTTACAGCACTAGGCTGAAGTGCAGGGGGTCTCGGAGGCACGCCACCCACATTCCTGTGCAGGGCGGATTTGCCCCTGGCCTGGCTTTGCGTGCCGTCGGAGTTTGACAAACTGCATGTTCTTCTCGGCAAGTGTCAACACCAGCACAAACAATCTTAGCTGGGGCGCAATCTGGTACCAAGTGCAGCGGATCTTTGCTTGGTAGAGCGCTCCGACGGCTCCATCGTTACGCTTGGTGTCGAACAAGAGATTGGATGAGCATGCTGTCCTCAGCACGAGCGCGGGCTACAAGGCTGCATAATTATGTGTGTAGTTCATTGATGACATCTATCTTGCTCGCTGCCAAGATGCCAGGATAAGAACATGTACGGCCTCACAGCACGTTGCATTTAGGGCAGCGTGTTGTTCACGTAATATGGTGCTATCTTGTTATCTTGTTCTCTTTACATCGCCCTTTCCCAGGTTGTAGTACCTTCTCGCTGCGTGCAATCTTCTTTCCCGTTTTTTATCGCTTCCCCCTCATGCCTCGCATGCTGCCACCGCCGCCAGATGAAAAATGCTTAGCGTTGAAATAAAGACCCCTCTTGCCTGCTAAGATTCCACCGGAACCCTTTACCTGGCGTCACTTGTCAGCCAGTCAGCCAAACCATGCATCTCAAGTGGAGGACACCATGATCAACAGCTGGCATTAGAAGATGCGCAGAATTATGGAGTCACTGACAGGTTTTTCAAGCAGAATCCTACTGCAGCTAAGCTCCTGACAACCCTTTGGGCCAATCGCCAACTTTGGGGATGGCCCTCCTCCTTGGAAGCAAAGCTATCCGGAGCGCCTGCTACAAGTGACGCAAGGCCACATGTTGCTTGCCCAGCGACGTGCGCTCAACACACGTGGTGTCAAAACCAACGAAAGCCTGAGGGACCAAGAACCAAATGTTGAAAAACACTGTTCTTACAAAAGCGGACAACGCGTCAGCTTCCGTCCAAGATGCCCATTCCAATGGGTCTGATGTCTTCCAGATATCGCAGTCAGAGCCATACCTCATGAGCATGTTGTCCTCTTTCAGCTCAGGGTGTCTCTGCCGATCTAGCTCCTGCCAGGCTGGCCTCTGAAGTTGCTTGACTGGTACAAGTAGCACTTCTGCCTCCCAGATTTTCTTTGCTTTTGGCACAACAGTCCTTCCGGGAGCTTGGGCGTGGCTTCATTCCGAGGTTCGCAGGTTCGCAAGGCCGCTTGCTGCAAAGGTCGTGGCTCCACGTCCTCTTCATGGAGACTTGCAGGGACTGTTCAAAGAACTTTTGCCAGTCACCGTCATGATACCTTAATTTACAGAGGCTGACAATGCTCAGATCAAGAAAAGTCTATTGAAGCTCCTGTTGTTGGCATCCTTCAGGAGCTTGACCTGCTCGGCTTTGCACCCTTGCAGGGTTCCCTCGTCCACGTAGCACCAGAAAGCATCCTGAGACATCAGAAGGCGAGTGCCAGCATAGCCTGTAGCCCGCTACATCCACTCACCACGTCCCCCAAGCATGCTCAACACTCAACATGTCAGGATCGCCAAGTAGTCCCACCAATTGGCACATGGTTCAATGTAAATCCCCCTCCCTTCCGCTTTGGAAGCAGGCCCTTTTGCTACAAAACTCCCTGCAAACCAGCTGGTCGTCTGCAGCAGCGCCATCATTAGGGTCATGATCCACATCAAGCAGACGACATGTCGTAATTATGAGCATAACGAAGTTCATCGTTCTAACAAAACAATCAGAAAGACCTCAAACACAGATTGCTCGTCCTCTTTGATCCAAGCATCTGGCTCACTGAGTCTGCAGCTGTCCAAGTCCGCGCAGCGGCACATGTCCTGCCGACGTTGCACAGACCAGGTGCAGGACATCCAGACAATTCTAGAAAGCCTTTGCCTGCCCCAGGTGTCCTCGTAGAATCCCTTCAGAAGGTTCATGCCTGCTGTCAACCATCTTACAGAAAGATGGCAGATCAACCTTGGTGCCTTGCTTTGATGGCATGCCCTCCAGCTCGGACTGGATCAAATGATATTTGCCCGTCGGATCCAACCTGCCCAGGAGGCATTGGAAGTTGACTCAAGAGCGCTGCGAGGCCTGTGGTTTGGATGCATGAAGGGTTGTCGTGTGTATGGGCAAGTGTGTTTGCTGAAGTTCTCTTCTGCGCCTCGAAGCAGCTTACCCCATTTCATCATAGAACCCGGTTGAGCACACTTGTACAACATGTCCTTGAACATGTGTCCGTTCACCTCGTGCAAACACGTACTGCAGGGTTCTACGCACACAACCAATCCAAAGGTACTTCCGGTGCCGTCCATTATTGTCAACCCTTGGCATCCTTCTACTAATCGATTGGCGTCCAAAGGTGTCAAGATATGTGAAGGAACTCTCAGAATCCCTATGCCATTACATAATGGCCTGTCCCTGTGCTCATCCGAACGCGATCGACCTGTGCGAGAGAAGCAAAAAGGGAGAGGTCGGGCGTAGGTTTCGCATTGCTTCGCATGTTCAGTGGAGCCTCGCTCCGGCTCAGCATCTGTTGCCAGGGAGGCCTGCTTCAGCAAGTTTCCTGTGGACAGCACCCGTTTCCTGGCAAAACTTGAAACGGTCACGGAGGCTACGGGAAATTGCAGGAAGCTGTCCTCATCTGCTTCCAGGCTTTTTGGTTGGAATGGTTGTGGGAATTTGCATCCTGGGTTGGCAGCTCGCGCAGCATGCTATTGGCTGCTTCATCTTGACTTCAGTGGCAATAATTCAACGAAAATCAGAGTTCACGCCTCAAGAACAGACACAGGGAAGGTAAAGCCCGCGTCTTTCATGGGCAGCATGGAGGTGAGTAGGGCATGAGAAGCAACAGGTGTGGTTGCGAGCACTCTGTCTCAATGACCAATTACACAAAGGAAAGCATGCTCCAGTCAGCGCAATCACGAGAACATTGTGCAGAGTCAAGACATCCATCACCTTTGCACGACTCTCTTGCAAACTCTGCACTCCTGAGAATCCTGAGACATTATCGGCCCCCGGCACGATTCCAAGTGAAGCGTGGCTTGGCAAAACATTGTGCGCATGTTAGCGAGCTTGGCTGCTCCTGCAGTTTGGTAGGTGACAGAAGAGCTGTTGCTCCCAGCTTCGGTTCTGCAGCCGTTCCTGGCTGGGTTTGAAAGCCCACCATCTGGTAGGCTGTCAGAATGAATTTGAGCACCCATCTGCTCTGGTGTCTTTGACAAGACCATACGAGACCACTGGACTTCTTGGGCAGACTTCGGAACACAGCTCAAAAAATGTTGCGCTGAGCTGCCACTACTTCTCGTGACCCCTACTCCAGCAGGTTGCACTTTTCAGCCGGGCATCAATCTGATGCTGCGTGTGCTCCACATAGGCGCAAATGATGGCTTTAAACTCTGGCTGATCCAGCAGGTTTTGCACCACCTGCTGCATCGACACATAGAATTTGTCCACAAGCTCGTTCGTGAGGCTCTTACCTGCGCAATGGATTGCAACATTTGCAAAACACTTATATGCTTGGACTCGCATGTGCGTGTCAGATCATCTAGGGCTGGTGCGCAGCAGCAGCTTGGCAAGTTGCGTGGAGTTGATGATGGACGATGTGCTTCGCTGTAGCACAGCCTCCTCCATCAAGGAGTGGCCTACAGGGCCACAGGGAGGACAACAACTGCCTGCAAGATGCCGTTGCGGCTTCTTGTAGAGCCCCCGCCTTCATTTCCCACGAAGATCTGCTCTTCGCACTTGCTTTGTCGTGGTGAGGTCTTGGGTGTCGGACTTTTCGGAGGCGTCGTGGTCAGCGATTCCGTCGAACTATTTGCACTCTGCAATCCTGTTGAGTTGTCGGCATCTGGATCTGCTGCCTCAGATGGTCGGGCAGCACCCAAACATGTTTGTATTTCGATCACCTTACTGAACATACCTCTTTCATCTGGATCACTGCCTCGTGTCTTGAACCGGCTGTATAAGCGAGCATAAGCGAGCAAAGGTCTGAAGAGTCCCATGCGGCCAGGTCTCGTGTACCCTAAAGGCCCTGAGGTCTAGCCACACACTCCCGTGTTGCACAGAGCGGGGTCTTTCCAGCAAAGCAGTCGGACGACGCTCACGCGTGACCCAGAAGGACGCGCTCTGACCTGCCGAACACAGGGGGCGCGCTGCTGCGCATCTTCAGCCTCCTGGCCTTCCTCTTTTCTTGCGCCCTGAAGTCGTTTCGGCAGTCGCCTTTGTGCTGCAACCTTAGCGATCAAAAACACTTTCTAGTCCTTCAGAGCTCGCCCTTTACAGCAGCTGCGGACCAGCCCATCGTTTAGTGTGAAAAGAAGATGTGCTGACATGCTTGAACTGCCCAGATGAAGTTCATCTACGCCACTCCTGCCTGGAGATGCCTGTTCCGCTCTAAGAAGCTTTGGCCGTCCTTAAAAGATCAGACACCAAATGACCCCTCCAACGAGAAGATCTGTGAAGCGCTCCTCCGGCAACCGTGCCAACAGCTGCTGGAATGCAGCCGTCTTCTCGACGTCAACCGCCGGCATTGGCTCAACCTGCGCATGTTAAGGATTGCGGCATTTCCGCCATTTTTTCCAATGCCAACCAACGGTGAGGAAACAGCGGAAAAATCTGCCATCTCTGAATCTTTGCTTAGTGGCAAGCATGTCCTTGTTGTGGTGGCCTTCCCTCTTCGTCTGCCTTTCGAGTGAGTGTCGCAGTGCTTCTGTGTAAGACATGCCACTTCAAAACTGCGGATGCTCATGGCCAGCAAGAAAAAACCACATTTCCTCATTTGCCAAGTGGCCACTTCTCGGGTGGAGGCTTAAAACTGAGGTGCAGACCTCCAGGGAAGGCTTTGCAAGGTGCCAGCTGTCAAAGCTTTCCATGCAAGACCTCCTTGTGATGTACCGTGATAGACATGGGCCTTTTTCCCAAAAGTCTTGCATGGCATTGCATTGTTCCCAAGTGCCATCGACGCATGAGCACTGTAATCGAGCAATTGGGATCAAGAAAAACCTAAGTGATTCTGCATTGGGCATGCGCTTCTCTTTAGCATTTCCAGAATGCAATGCCACCCGTCCGCACTATGAATACCAAAGCCAAGCCACACACCCAGTACAATCCTCAGATGCAGGGAATTTGCACTTATCCTGCCATCCATTACTAGTGGCAAAGCATACCCTACCAGAACGCTTTTTGAGCCGGTGCTATTTGGAATTCGACCTGCGTTTGTAGACCATCAAAAAGTGACTGAAGGATGGCTCTCCTGGAAGCGTTTGGAAGAAACAAGTCTTAATCACGAAAAGCTAACATGACTAAAATCGCACATCATAGAGGCGACGCACTTACCTGTCCGCACGTTCGCGTCGGATGGGGCACCTTCCAAACTACCCCAATGAATACAGCAGCATGCGCCTCCGCGCCTCCACTGGAAAGAGGCCCTGCCAGCCTGAACAACGGCCTCGACTTGGTCGCGCTAAGCCTTCGACGGCCACCGATTCCGTGAGACGCCATCTCACGAACTTTGTGCGACTGGACGCTCCATCCGCAAGCGTCACGACACGCCCTCCACTGACACAAAGGGTTGCTGAATTCGCAGGAGGCTCCACGCGCCATAATAGCTGCCAGAATTCTGAGGACACTGCACGTGCCAGCGCAATTTTTGGAGAGCTGCGGCGGTTCCCACCAGCCCTTCCCCGTGCTTTGAAACATATTTGTTTGGGAGCCATAGAGCCAACCTCACCAAGCAATATCACATCATCCCGTTCACATCATCCCATCAATCCAACGTCACACCAGCCTATCAATCCAACATCAAGACATCCCATCAGACAACCACCTCCATGGAAAATCCCCTCGCCACGCTTTTGGGAAAAATCCAAAACGAACTTTCACGAAGACAAGGAAGGGGCGGGCAGGGGTGCGGTAGACCAACCTTGGCAGGGGGCTGCGCGGTGTGGTGCGGCTTACCAGCCTCAGCTGACCTTTGACAAAGCCAGATCTTGACGAAGGAGAGCAAACCCGGGGACGCAGAGTCTCGACCTTTCCACTAACCTCTGTTTGGCCCATCAAAAACACAAAGATTGAGCTAGCCCATTCTAGCCAAAGTCACCAGTTGATGACGAACAGCGTGAAGAAATGACTCACCAAGTGGTGGTGTCGCTGCAAAACCACGACGACACCGGCAATGACAATGAGCCTAAAATGGCAACCGAATCACATCCTCATGTTGGTTGCGTAGCCGTTAGACATGAGCGGGTACGCTCTTGCTTGGACGGGAGACAGCCGAAAGATGCCGACCAATCGAACGGCCTGCTCATCGCCAATCAGGCCCAAATTGGCGATGTTGTCATGCATGAAGTAAAAGGTGGTCATCCCCGCTGTGACAAGCATGTCCCAGAGAAGGAAGCCCAAGACCATGGACCGGTTCACTCCTGAACTGGTTGTGACACACCCTCACTTAAGAAAGCGGGCGCCTGGATATCTGCATGCAGTCAGGATACGCTTCATCAAGACGCCCGTCATTCGCCGGGCACAGCGCACACCCTCCAAGTTTTTAAACCAAGCCTTGGACACGGGCAACAGCAAGGATGCAGTGGAGTAAAGGGAAGCACAAGGATCCAGAACCTGCACGTGTTCGCCTCCGCCTCCGGCCAACAGGCATCTGGAATAGACAACGATCTGGTTGCTCCCCTCTCTGCCAAACTGAACCCACTCCCTTATCTCCCAGCCTCATGGGCATGTCAAATTGTGTGGGACTCAGGTGCCCAGGCAGACGCGCGTTAGCGTTACAATTACATCTGTCTGATGACAGAACAAACCACGTCAAGCAACTGAAGGCCTGTAAGACTTGCCACGTTAAACTTTGGCGATTGCTTCGTATGCGGTGGAATGCTGCTAAGATTCACAAGATTTCTTCGTCCTTTCCTTTGCAGCACTGTAAGTCCGCCCTTCTGGGGCGGGTGGTTGCGGCTCATGCTGGCCTGCCACAAGGCTCTGGGCTCAAGCCTCCGAAACAGCCCTGAGAAGTAAATCCTATGCGCGGTCGCAGAACCTTTAAGACAAGAGCGCTGAGTCAGACGTTTTGACAGAAGCGAAACGCCCTGCCTGGCATCTTGCCGCTTTCTTTGTGGAATGAAGTTTGCTGACAACGCGCAAAACATCTTTGAACCAGCGGCGACAGCAATGAGCATGAGGTGTCGAGAGGAACCATGTCACACTACTAATACCCGCTAACCCTGTTTGCAGATTCCACTCCGAAAAAGCTGCGAGCTCCGCACCATCTGTCAGACAAACCGTCCGCCTGGCCACTGGCCACGCAGCAAACAAGGCACAGCGGCAAGATTGGGCAAGCCTTGCCAGTACCTGTGAGATTGCCTAAGCGAAGCGTCTCTCATGTCAGGGATGAAGCGCTCACATATCATCTCGTGTTTAACCTGTTAAGACCCAAATTGAGGAAATGCCTCAGGACCCTGCGGTGGTCCAGGGGGTGCAGGGGCACTGTGACCTGACCAGCGGTTCTGGGAAACGCACACTTAGTTAGTTTACAAACCTGCTCAACCAGCATGACTTGCTTTGCTGTCATGGGGTGCGAGGAATCAAAGCCTAGACACATAGGATACCTGATGTTTGATGTCACTCACCTCGCGGCGCCATGGCAGTCGCACGTTCTTGCGGGCTCCTGTGCATGTGTGCGGTTTTCGGAACCTACTGTGAACATGCGGCGGCAAGTCTAGGCAATCAATGCAAAGTGATCGCGGCTGCTTGTGTGGGAAGGCTCAGGCTGCAGAGCCTGCTTGGTGGCGATTGGGCAATGACCTGTGCCTTAGGCAAAGAAAAGAATGCTGAACAACATCACAAAACGAGCTACATGTCTGCAATAGTCATCAACTCCTCATCGCCTCAAATTTGATCAAATGCCATAATCACGGAAGAAGTAAGCTCCGCTCAAAGCCGGGACGGCTTGGGAAGGTGGCACGCAGCGACGTCGGTCCTCTCGAAAACTCACCGTCTTTACACTACAGTTAAAATCAAACAAATGAGTCTGCGGCTGGTGTCGTTGAGGCGCCTGCCCAGCTCAGAGTCAAATCGGGAGAAACCGCCAAAAAAAAGCCCAACACACATCACGTTGAATCGAGAAAATGCTGTAGTTGCACGAGCAATCGGTTCTAGGTTAATTTTTACTTCGATTCCAATTCATTTTAGATTGGATTTCAATCTTGACTTCAAATGATGTTATGTGTACCCTTACTTAACTGGTTTTCAATTGTTTTAGATGGGGTCTTAATTCGACTTCAATTGATTTTCAGACTACAATTACTGCAAGCATTTGAAAGCGTACTAATGCTGGTAGGAATTTGTTTGGATACTAGCTCTGGATCTAAAACCCCATGTAAACGAAAAAGGTAACGCCTTTGAACTTGTTTCATCCCCATGTACTGCTGGCAAAACAAGAGCCCGGTTACGACTTCCACCCCCAGCTGTTAAGATACTGCAGATACAGCACCAAGACTGGATGTCCGGCAATTACACCGCTCGGGCCATGCACACAAGGGCACATTTTTTGCCAGTGACCTGCAAATGCACAGTGCATTTCTACACCGAAGGAAACCAGATGAGCGGAGGACCACATTGGACATGGAACCAGCCTACCTTCCCTTGTAAGCATATCTCTCAGGATAGGAGACGCAGCACTTAACCTAATCTGCGGAAAGTGAAGTGCTTGGTCTTGCACCTCGGCAACATCAGGACTTGCCGATGCGAACTCACACTTGCGGACCGTCGCTCCTGCTGAATTGACCGTGTTAAACTGGCCTTTGCAAGAACCAAAGTTGCGCAGCCAAGTCTGAAAGTCTTTCCAGGTCCTCAGGCACAGCGACTGCGACGATGGCCTTTGGCACTGCCTGCTGCCTCGGTCCAAGAATTCCAAAGGCTGCGATCAACAACGCTGCAGTTTGCGGCATGCAGAGCAGAGCGCTCTCTCCTTGTTGCTTCTCCGTGTGTGGCTTTAGGCCGCAAGCAAAGGATACAGCCGTTCCGTTCTTAGAGCGGAAATCTTTGAATGCTTGTTGCAGCCACCCGGAATCAGAAGCTGGACAAGCTAGCTTCAACCGACCACTTTGATCCACCAGGACTCACCACAAGCGACTTCGACGGCCTTGCACGCGTTCTGGGTGAGGATAGCACAAATCAAACTCTGACCACTTTCTCTTTGATCGCTATCGCTGGCCTCGACCCATGCTGCCCCATCAGAGTCGCGGCGCAGCACCAGGCCACCTGCCTGGTACCGCGAGAAGATTAAACGTTAAAACGGAAAAGAAATCCTCGAAGCAAGGCAGCAGCCGAGCAGGCCGAGGCACAGGATGAAAGAGGCCACCCAATCTTCCAGCAGCTGCAGGCGATTTGACCATCGTAGCCGCCAACTTTCCCACATGAGGGAGATGTCCGACAACCACCTGCAGTCCACCGCGAGGCCACAAGCCCTGGGGCTGGCACAGGAGGTGCCGCCTTCACCAGCGGCAATCCCTCGATGAGCCTTGACTGACATCCGCTGAATGGTTCCGCGGGAAATATTCTCTCAAACTCACTTCAACATGGACATCAGTCACCTCGACGGACTTGTTAAACATCCTCCCACATCATATAAGCTCTTGTTGCTTGATCCCATCCTTTCAAGCATGCCACAACATTGCATCAGTGCGGCTCCAACGCAGCCGCCGGCTCATCGTTTGGGCTTAGCCCAGGCTTCTCTTCACAAACGGCCTTCGCAGAACACTGCGAGCAACGCAGAAATTCATACGGGCCCGCATTGCCTCCCAGCCATCTGCCAGCAATGCTTTCATGACAGCTTCTGCAGTTTGTCGTGCACGTAGCTTGCCGCTGTGCGCGATCAACACCTCACACACAGACACAAAAAACACAATCCAGGAGATTCGCTTTCGCTTGATACCTGCATCCTGCCTTCCTGGTACTCACCGCAGATGCGCAGATAGGCTGGCTTTCACTATGCTGAACAGGAGTAAGCTGTGTCACGTCAATAGAAAAAGGAGTAAGAACAGCATCGCGTGCCACTGTCACACTGTTCATGCGAGCAGTTGAGGCGCTCTTCTTTCCGATGCCGCGGACTTCAAGTAGGCTGTGATTGCACTTGCGGTGCTATCCTTGGCTTGAGGCCTTGTGATGTGTGCATGCTCAAAGTGCTAAAGTGCCGGTGAGTGGCGGCTTCTCCATGGCCCTGCTCTGAAAGCGGTCGCTCTGGATCTTGCTCCTCCGGCACCGGAGTTCCATGCCGTAGCAAGATGCAGTGCGAGGCCATGCGATCCTGTGTCAGACAGATTTCGCGAAAGCAGGTTGCAGCCATCACTGCTGCCATGTCTGATGGCAGACTGCACAAGCAACCCCCCAAAGTCTCCAAGGACACGGAACCAGATTGAGAGACAAAGTTTCAAAAGAGTGGCAAGGCCCGAAGTGCCTCTTCGAGCCAAGGCTGCTGCAGTCGTCAATCAATCTGACTTCGCGAAGACTTTCGTCGGAAGACTGTTCTTTGAGAACACTGTTCTACTCTTGCTCATGTCTGAGGCTGTTGCGCATGGAGTGACTGCCCTGAGAATGGAAGAGGCGGGACTATTGCCTGAGCCATTCATGAATGTCTGTGTTGTCTTGCTGGCTTGACAAATGCCATTCGAGATTCCTACATGTTCCTGTCACTTCCTTCAAAGCATCCTGGGAGAGCTGAAAAAATCCCAACAACAAGCCTTTCAGAAATTACCACAGTGGTGGGTTCAAGGATTCCATCAGCCAATTTCTGGGCCGTCCACGGGTGTGTAGGCGGTAGGTACCAAGCCTGGAAACTGGGCAGCAAAAATCCTGCCACAGCTGCTGCACTTACAACAAGTGGGCAGAAACATGCAAAGAGCTGCACAATCAAAATTGCATGTGTTCCACACAATTAAACGAAAAGCTTGGCGCACTCCAAACCAGCCCCAGACTGCCAGCCAGATACACCTCTTAAGCCCCCCTGAGGACCAGCATTAGCAGCATTGAGACGCCCGGGTTTCTTCCGAACGCCCAGCTCTGGATGGGAATCACAGTTCTTGGCTTACTCGCACAACAGATCTTTCAAGACAAAACTAGATCACGCCAGGGTCGCAGGCCATGTACATAAAGCTTGTCAACGTAGACTTGATCCTAGACCTAGACCAGTTAGGGCAGCTAATAAGTAAAGATTTTGGGAACGACTAGGTTCAGAAGTACAAGACATAGCCAATGGCCTTGCTTTCGGCGCTGCGCATTTCGGATGTTTTTGCAAGGCGCAGCCTTTCGTTTTGGATGATTTTAGTTTGGTTGTAGCGGGTTTCAGACAAACCCTCGTAGAAGTGCACGGATACATTTGCATTGCCCAGGAATACGGAAACAAAACATCTTGTCCTGCTTTCATGACCAGTAATCGTATCCATCTCTCAGCAACAGAATGAGCAGCAACACTGGCAGCAGTGCAAAGGGTCTGAGGCCCCAGAAAACTGAGATCACGCCATCTCCAGGCCCTCTCGTGCTCCGGCATTTGTGCTCCCACCTCACCTCTACTGTACCCTCAGCCATCCTACCATTGTTTCATAGCAACTTCTGACAAAGAGCTTTCAGCTTCGAAACATCACAATCCAACTCCGTTAATTTCAGATAGGAGGTGCATGATCCCCTCTGCTCTTTTCAGTTGGCGCTTGTCGTTCCGAAGCTTTTGACTGAACGCGATCCTCCGATTACGCCCTACACAATCCATCTTGGATCTAAGAACTGCGCTGCTGGTGGGAGGAGTCCAGCCAGGCTTTGTGATTGGCACCTCCACGCCAAGTAAGTTCAAGACCATCTATGCTCGCAAGAACCTGACTAGTTCTAGAATCAGCTCTGCAACTGTGGAAGACTGCAAGTAGAATCAGCTGGAAGCCTCCTCAGACACTGATGTGGGCAGCTGCGGAACAGGTGGCACAGTAGCCTGAGCCGGAGGGAGGCCACGCAAGGCTTCGGGCAGCTCCATCTGCAACGTAGCGTGAGCCTGGAGGGGACCTGCCAACACTGGAGCCGAGCATACGCGCCTGGCGCTTCTTAGCCAAAGACAGGGCACGAAGCCGCAGGTGTGCATCACCCACTAGCATCCGATACCTTTTGTACAAATCTTCTCTCGAAGGACGATACTCAAGCCTGCATAGACACATGCCGCACGATCTGCTTGCCAAGCTCACGCCAAGCTTCTTGACTTAATCTTCAGAAAAGGGAAGCACACATGGACACTACAACTCTTCGGGATCCTCTTTGGCGAGCTTGCACAGCTACATGCAGCAGATTAAAGCAGGCTTGTGCCGAACTATGCTCAACTGCACTCTACAACAAGGTACTTGTGCCTTCGGATCCAAGTCTAATTTGTTGACATGGGTAGTCAACACGTCCTACTCCGTACACCGAACCACAGGCCAGAGGAGCAACACCCTCCAGACCTTTGAACTGATAACAGACTGTTTGCTGGCCTGGGCTCTGTGATGGGCTCAGGAATGCTGTGCAAGAAGTGTGCAACGTGGTGACGCAGCTGTTGCTTGCAGATGTCCGCCGCAGCTTCATCCCGCAAGGCCCAGCTTCCGCGGCTTCAAACGCAGACTCGCGTGCATTCTACGAATTCTTACTGATCCCAGTCCCACTGTCAGACATCAAGTGTCTGGCCGGCATCCCAGCGTCAGGTTGCAACAAGGCCAATAAAGAACAAGCCAGGCTATCCCGTGAAAAAGATTTTGAGCGTCACTTTAGCTGGCAACAAGCTTTAAGATGCATCAGGACAGCCGGCACTTGATTGATACCCATCCTGTTTCTGGAGGCTTCAACTTCCAAGATCTGGATGTTAGGCTGACGGCAAACTGGCGGCAAAATTGTGGCCGAAACTTTCTGCGCATGCAGAAATTGCATGTTCGAATTTTCTCAGATCTTCTCAGATCGCAACACCGTGTCCAGAACTGAGCTCAGAGCAGAGACCCAAATTCTTCGAACCTCTTTGACAGTTTGCCCTTCAATTCGCTTGCAAACACTTTTCGAAATTAGCGTCTTGGCAGATCTGGATCTCGCTCTCCTTCCTACAAGAACAAGAGTCATCAGGCTGCGCCTGCCCTCTTTCACAAAAACTTACTTGCAAGCACGTACACCGGTGCACGGCACATGCAATTCTTTGCGCAGCCCTTCCTGCGTCAAAGAGCCTGCGGTTCAAACGTGCAATCTCAGCACTACGCTTCCTCGGGCGAAAGTGCAAAGACGGCATAGTAGGCTTCAATGCTGAAGTATGCTGGAGTCACTGAACTCTAGCGGTGGTCTCCCGTGGTTGCTCTGCTTGGGCTGTCGTCTGACGGGAAACCATGTTTTGGCTCCGAGCCTGCTCTGCCTGCTCTGTCACCGTCTTAGCCAACGTGGACTGAAGGCTCCTTCCTTGACAGTGTAAGCCGGCAAAACTTTGGAGATTGCGTTCTTTTGGCGGCTCAATGCATAAAGCCTGGAAGAGGTCCAAACTGGTTGCTGCCTCCCGGCTGCGATTCATGCTGTGAGGCAGTTGGTGGCTGGCCTTCTAACATCTGGCTCTTGAGCCTGCACGGAGCATCAGCCACACTGCGCCGCTACTTCTACGAGACACCATGCATGACGCCTTCGTGTGGGCACGCTGAACATGTCGCAGCGTCTGGCGCACTCGCGAAAGAAGCCTGTTTTGCCCTGTACGTTTGGCATGCTGCGCAGGTGAAATGCTGTACATCTTTGGCGCAGTGTTGCATGCACCCAGTAGTTAGTAGTGCTGTTCGAAACATCTTGATGGCCATCATTGGCCATTAGATCATGACAATATTAGCTGCAGAATTGCCTCGATGCGCTTTGTAGATACTGTCTCAGGCAGCATGAGTGTCTCGCCCGAGCTCTCAAAGCCGACAGCGATCATCAGCTCCTTTGTGCTCCCACAAATGTGTAAGCACAATGATTTGTGAGTGTCGTAGCTGACTTCTGAGTGGCTATCCTCCCCGCCAGGCACGTCTAGAATTTTTTGCTGGATGGCCTACCCAGCAAACAAGAGCCTAACAGGCGTAGGCTAAAGTGAAGCACGGATTCCCCGCCTTGTTGTCTCGCTTCACACTGCGGAACTTCGGATTGCGAGGATCAGCTGCAACATTCGATAGCAGCTTACCTGACTGTCAGGATGTACTGCTCAAGCGCACTGAGCTTGCGAACTGTCATACACCAATATCATCAGCAATGGCAATGTCACTACCGGTGCACCGACTGCTACTGTTGCTGACACTGCCAGCACAAAGTCAGGTGCAAATATGATCTTGCTCCAGGAAGCCATCAAAAAATGCGTTGCACGAGAGCTACAGTGTCACATGGGGTGAAACTCCGTACAGAGCAATGCAAAGCCGCGCCACGCAAGGTTGTCAAACAAAGTCGGGCCTCCGCTACTCCGAGAATCAAATCTGAGATCATGAGATATCATGAGTGCAGCGTCATTCGCCACCTACCAGCACTCGCAGGGACTCGCCTCCTCGGAGCTACCAAGCGCATTTCGCAGCTCGACGAGTCGAGAAGAGGAGGCCTCTCAGCTTCGCAGCTATCCAACAACAGTCTTCTTGATGCGCCCCACGGATGAATGGGCTGGCCACATCCGAGCGGACAACACATGAACATAAACAATAACTTAGCTTGGTCTCTTGGCTTAATACTCAGCGGACAGCAGTTTTACAGAGCTGGCCTGAGCTGAGATCGAGCCATCAACGCGCATCTCACCATTCCTTGGCGAAGCAAATTTCAAGCTCAGACTAGCTGTGCAATGTAAGTGAAGCACTATTTGACTGATAACTTCTCCGAATGATATATATACCCCCTCGCAGAGAATCTCCAATTTCTCGAAATTCCTGGAAGACTACTTTAAAAAGGCCAAGACGGCTTTCAAGATGGGATCCCGCCTAATGATGAATTGAGGGATTCTGAGGTCGAGGTCAGTAGACGGGCTACAAGCAATGAGGAATCTAAAGGATTGTTTTTGTGTAGTTCTTATGAAGCCCAGGATAATCAATCTGAATGTGATGCTACTTGATTCCATTACGATTTGAAATCCTATAAGTAGAGTTCAAACAGGTTTCAACTGATTTTTGACCATTTCTGGTTAGATGCTAATCGATCTCACTTGGATTGTGTTTAGATGTTGGTCAGTTTCCAATTCTTTTTTTCTTAATAAATGTTGCATAGAAGTTAACTGGTTTTATTGCGATCCCAAATTGATTTAAACTAGATGTCAATTGATGTCATTTGGTTGTTTGTTTGTTTGTTTTTACGTGGTTTTGATTAGACTTGAACTAAATAAAGTTCAATTAGACTTTAGTTAGTTTTAGATATGTTTCAACTGATGTTAATAATGGGACTAATTAGCTTTTAATTGGCTAATGAGATTTAATTAGGTTCCAACTGGTTGTAATCAGTTGTTGATTAGATTGCTATTGGTTTCCAATATATGTCAATTCGATTTCAACTCATTTTAATGAGAATCTACTTAGCCTCCAGTAATTTCAATAGTTTAATCAGACTTTACACCCAATATATTCTACAAGGGCCTACCCTGTAATCGATACTCCGGGGAATACCTACTAAGGGGAGGCGGGGGATACGTTTAGTATAGGGGGGAAGGATTATGTTGCATCTGAACGAGAGCAGCCAAAAGATCTGAGCTTCAGCGTGCCTGTATGTGGTGACGGCTGTAGTGGCGCAGCTCTTCCACTGGCACCGGAACCCCAGTTTTGTACACCATTTTGCCGCAGACTCATCCTCAGTCTTGAAAACATTTTCTGACACTGAAAACTTTTGCTGCCTCCTACACTTCAAGTCAGCAAGAGGCTGCGGGCGCTCCGAGGCAGACAGACGCGAAAGCCATTGCCCCTTGCTCTCTCGACAAGGATGCTGATCCTTTGGAGTCGGTAAGGCAATCAACAAAAGCAACACTTGGACATGCCATGGAAGCATTCGGTGCTGGCTCTCTGTCCTCGAAGCGGTGCTTCAAGCACACCTGTCCACATCATGATCAGTCGACTGAACGATCGCATGACAACGAAGAGAGCTCGCAGGACGGGCCGCAAGCAAGCTATCATTGACAATTTCAATGCCGACCATCAAGCGCATGCTGCATGCCGTTGTAACTGACAGCATGCTGCGTGAATCGCCGAACTCACTCGGACCAAGTCCTGTTTACAACAAAGACTCTACTCTGTACCATGCTGCGTCTGCTCGACCAGTAAAGAATGTCTACTTAAGCTGGGCAACAGATCATTAGACAGACACGAGTCAAGCCTCTGCTGTTCAGGGCCCAGGGTTCGCCTTCCCTTCCTACCCCGACGCAGACGACCCAACACTGCAGGCTTGGAAGCATTGGCTCTAATCATCTTGCCCTTGGAATGTCATCGTGGGGAAACTACTCCTTAGCTTCCTTGGTTGCTAGCCACTTTCAGGCCTAAATGTCAAGAATGGTTTCCACTTAAGTGAGACCAACTTCGGAAGCACGGACACCTGCTACATGTCCACATTTGCATCGCGCATGGGAGTCCCCGAGATATTTCCCACATAGTCCTTAATTGGGTCACTGCCTCATAGCATGTCCCCATAGTTTGCAGGGCAGAGCATCCCTCTTGTGAGAAACTCCCTTGGAGCTGTGCCTTGGTTTTGCATTCGGAGCAAACCACGGAGTTCATGGTGTTCAGCTTCGTCTTGCAGCCTTCAGCAGGGCAGATCCTCAGCTTCGCTGATCTGGCAAAACACCTATCCGTGCTACAGAACTTTCTAGTGGCATCCATGGATCTCTTTGTCTGCTTGTAGCACGGGCTTGCACACCTCAATGCCCAAACCGGACAGAGGGCACAAAGGAGCAAATTGAAGAGGAGATGGTAGTGGATGAGGGGTGCAGGTAAGCAGCGAGGAGAACATAGGGCTGGGAGAGGGAAAATCAGAGCCTCGCGGTGCTTGGCCATGGCTTCCTGTTCGCTTGAAACCGCATCCTCCCACTTCACGGTGGCTCCGCACTGCGGACAAACAGCAGCAACCACACCTGGCCACGTGAGGCTTACACGGCTGAAGTTTCTCTGCCCGCATCCCGCGGCATCCCGCGGCCTTGTGACTTTGGTGCGCGGACACAGTCATGCTTAGCCGGGGCGGCATGGTCTTGACAGAATTTGCGGCTGCAGTGAGGGCAGGTGAAAGGCAGGAAGTCCCGGAGCCCACAGGAATCCTCGGCCATTTGATCTCAGTCGTAACAGCAATCCATCTCTAGCTTGGTCCAGGTCAGATAAAAGGAGTCTCAGGTCCTGGCCAAGGAGCAGCAGTCGCCCACGAAGTCGTAGCCGTCTGCATCTCGAAAGTCAGTACTAGCCGCCGGCTTTGCCTCAAACATTGCACCAGCGGAACGCGCGCCGGTAGCGTTGGCAACTGGCCAGCTTCAGCTGTTCACCTTGGTGGGGTCCTCGTGTGCTGGATGAATGCTTGATTGTTGAAAACTCATGGCTGCTTGCTGTTCGATGCAACGTTGCCTGAGTAGCCAATGGCTAGGCTGTGTTGAGTAGCACGGGCATGCGGCACCGAAGCACACCGCCATTCAAGACCGGCCCATGGCCCATGATCAAAAAGCCAGGCTTGGCCGGAGCAAGTCGCCAGCACCAGCCGGAGAAGTTCCTTGCTGGGATGTGTGGGATCCAATGACAAAGTTTGGCACAGCTCCAAAACACGAGGGAGCGCCTGCATTGCTTGCATACTGCAATTGTGGCCTGCCGCAACTGATGTTGTTTTTGCATTGCCCTTTCCCTGCGTCGCTCTCCTTTTGGCGGCTGTGGGCGTCAAGGCTCCGGCTAATTCTCACGGAAAACCATGCCAGAGCAGTACCCTCGGCCAGCCCGAAAACGCAGCTGAGGGCTGCTACAACACTGTGTACAGATGGCTGTGGCTGCAGCCCGTCGCTATCAACACACCCAGACTCTCCGAGACTCAGAGCTGGGAGGATCAGAAATTGCTCACAGTTTCAGTGGGCCACAAATCGAGGGGGGAGGCTCTGCTTCCGGAGCTGGCTGCGACAACCAGCCTGAAGAAACATCGCTGGAACGTGGCACACAGGTCAGCAGTGACGCATGCGCCGTGGCCTGCTCCAATGTCCACTCCCCAGTCATCCGGGTAGAGGCTATCCTTGCGCAGTCCAGGTCATGCTACGCTTAAGTTGCCTTGGCTGCCACAACATAATAACAGCAGTATAGTGCCAGCCAGGCTGCTGCACCTTGCGAAGGACTTGTGCCGCTTGTGTCGCCTGAGCCGCAAGATCACTGCAGCATCTCCAGCGCAGTGGAGGAGCCCGGATCAAGAAAGTCGGGCTCGGCTGAGGAAGGTGCTGCAAGGAGGCTGCGTGGTCAACTCTGCAGCAGGCTTTGCCTGAACAGACTCACTGCTGACCGCATGGTTGCTCATTGCATTTGATTGCACATATCCCCTGGCCACCTTGCGCACCTTCAAGTGCACCATCCATGCCTATCTGCACACAACAGCAGAACGGGCCCAGCGCTGAATGACGGTGCCTCCTCGCAGGCACGCGCAAATCGCGAGGTTTTGTTCGTGATCTTCTTGATCGCAATCCCTGCGTGATGTGCGTGACAGATGGATCAGACAGCCGCAGCAACTTGCCAAGCAAGCTGCATAAACCGGAGCCCAGCCTGACGAGCGCACCAGTTCACATATTGACTGGAGCTCGTCCCGAACGAATTGTTTCAGAAATCGCTCGAAGTCGGCTTCAATTTGCCAAAGGTCGAGAACCCTGGCCGGCGCACGATGACTTGCAAATGGAACTTTGAGCAGCGTGCGAAAACAGCTGTTGACAATCCGTGCTCTTGTCTTGGCCTGAGAACCCGTGGCTTTTTCGCAAGCTGCGGAATGCTCATCTTTTTGTCCTCACACTGAGTGAGCGAGCTTTTATTGTCCTTGTAAGCTTCTGCAAACTTGTGCAGAAGGCAACCAGTATCTGGAGTAATATTATCAAGCGGCACGCGTTGATCGAAGCTCTCGGACCAATGCTTTTCCAAGGCCGCACAGCTCCTCATCATAGCCTTGGGCGGTCTGCGGAGGTTCATCGCTCCGTAGAAGCACACAGCTTTCACGACTGCGAATCGGCAACTAAAAGCCTGACATGCTGAAGTTCTTAGCCCACTTTTGACATCAGGAAATCCTCTTCGAGTATCGAACCAAGCCAAGGCAAAAAGCCGGCAAATGTGAGGTTTGCAGTTCATCGTGAGATCGAGGACATTCGTGCAGAATGGTTGCGCCTTTTGCAATTCGCAACACGATCTAACAAGCAGAATCATCGGGGATCTGAAAGCCCGCAATACTCAAGAGTCGAACCTCTGGGTCTGCATTGTTAGACTGTTGTGGCCAGCTTTGAGTTGGAAGCCTGCTTTACTATGCAGAGGCTGCTCCACTTCTTGCAAGTTTGCGGCTGAGACGACAATGATCTGGGTGGCTGTAGGTTGACACGTACTTCAACCAACAACTTGTACCAGCCAGCACGAGAACGATAAACATGCAGCCAAATAGGAACAGAACTGCAGCCTGGCATACTGGCAGTGGGGGGCTTGCCTGTTCTTTGCCACTTCCTTCAAGGCCCACCAGGGTGGAGCCATCCAAACAAAAGTTGCTGGACTAGCCTGATCCTTTGCAGAAAGACCCCCTCAGTTCTAATCAATCTGATCCTGACCAACGACCTGATTCACAGCACTGTGGTTCAGTCAGCTGGGTCCAGGGCTGTCCTCTTCCTGAAGCTCTTCTTCATCATCTTGTTGTTGTCCGTCTAGCTTGGCCCACTGCTCCTTCCTGTGAAACAGCACCCGCAATCCTTCTTGTGCCAAGAGGTTTCATACGATGCGACATACGAGTAGATCCTCCGCTTGACTCCCCGCTTCATGGTGGCATCCACGACCAACTCCTGAGAAGCAACACTGGTGCCATTTCGACTGAGGCATGTTAGGCTGCGCAGCTGGAGCGTCAGGCCTCATCTTCTTGCAGTCCGGCGCGAGAAATGCGCCGGACTCCACACAGCGGTGTTGGACCACCGCCGGAATAGCCCATGTTCACCTGCCAGCTTGGCCCGCCTCTTCGCTGATTTTGTCCGCTTCTGTCTTTTGTGCAGTTTGCGTGGTTGCCGCAGCCGTTCCTTTGATTCATGCTTTCTGCTTTGATTCGTTTGGCTGGCACTTACCCCAGCGCTTCTTGGCTGGCGAATTCAAAACGGTTTGTATAACTTGTCTTTTCTAGGAACAGCCAATTGATTTTGTCGCTCTTTTGCACTTCTTGCTGACCTTACCTCCCATACGACGACTGAGTGCCAAGCAAGCATCGCATAGCCGATGCCATAATTGGCCTCGCAGGTTGAGGTACCAAGCCAAGGACGGAAGAGAACACACTTCGACCATCTTCGACCTGCAGTTGCTTCGCAGCCAATGGGGGCTGCTCCTCTAGGCGCAGCGCACGCCCGAGACGATTCTCAAGAGGAGCCTCCACAGAAATTGCAGCTACTCGAGCAACTATACGAGGACAGCATGGACGGCATTCGAGGCCTCCATCGATGGGATGAAATCAATGCCGGCTGGCGCCTTCCAAAAGGCTACATATGCCTTGCTTACTCATCCAACATCATCTACCAGGTCTGACAGGGTTGCAGCTGCAGAGCAGTAGGCCCTCATCAAGCCTCGTCATCTGACATCTCCAAGGTGGGCGACGTCTGGTTGTCCACGATTTAGCCCAGCAGCCCAAGGAGCAGTAAGTTCAAACTGAAATCCGCTTGCATGGAACTGAAACTGCTATCCGCCCTTCAAGCTTTGGGTGCCTGTCTAGTTCCTCTCTTCTTGCTCTTCTTTGTTAATCTGAGCAATTGCTCCGCACATGCCGCAGGTGAGGTGTCATGACAAGGATCTACACTCACTACTCCTGAGCAGCTGCAAAGTTGACATAGCAAACATCCTATCTGCCTCAAAAAGGCAGTGTGTTCCATTCCATGACAGAAACTCTTCCAAATCATGTAAGTTAGAGCAGCGGTAGACATGGAAGCATCATGGCGAAGACCTACGCTGTGATTAGGCTTGGGATTCAGAATGAAAAAGCCATGAAAGCATGAAGGGAAGAAGAGCCTGCTCACAGGTGGCAAAATGTGGATCACTGGATAGGCTGCGTTCCAGCGGCCTAGTGTTGCTCCGCAGCGCGGACCAGGAGTTGGACTGGACCAGGCGCCCAGGAATCAGGCCTGAAGTCAACCGAGGAGCCACACGTCTCTGCGGGAGTCTGACAACAAGAACGAAAGCTTGGATCGAAAGAATCTCTACACCCTGCTTTGACGAGCACTGCAACAGTACTGCAACGAACAGATGGTCGGGGCAACACTTGCCTCCACTGTGCGCATAGGGTGAAGAAGTTTGTGATGGCGAATCTCTTGTCGAAGTGTAAACCATGAGGCCATGAGACTCAATGTTGCAGGAGCGGTATCTAGGCGGTTGCCTGTCACGGTCCCTGGCTCATTCTAGTGGCTCCATTCGCCTTGGCCTCGGGCCAAGCGTCTGGAACAGAACTACCCCCGCTCCCCATCATCTTATGAATAGCTTCGCTAAAGTGACGAAGCAGTCCACCGCTGCTGGAGCCCAAGTGGTCGGGATCTTAGGCGGCCTCAACTTCCCTGGGCCGTTCCTGGTTCCTGCGCAGTCTGCGCGTACTGTTCTGGCATCTAGTATGGACGTATTGACAACGAGTCTTTTCCACGGCATCCGGCAACATGCAGCCAAGCCCTAGACCTCAAATCATCGACACTTTCTTTCAGGACAGCAAGGCACGGGCCGACATGGAGTTAACGTTGAACATCTTTTATGAGCCTTGCACAGACGTTGCTGTGCCCAATTTGTTCTTGTGAGTGGATGCTTGAAGCAGATGGTCCTGGGGAGGGGGTATGGGACGAGTCTTATTGCAAGCTGGCGTGCAAATTTCTCCAATGCCCGCGTCGTGGATGCTGCAAGTGCACACTGCTCACCTGCTTGCCACAAAAACTCCAGGTGAGCGTAGCTGTGGCAACTCTGCTTCCCATTCATGTGGATAGACGCAGTGAGTACAAAAACTTGTTGCTTACCCAGTGGATGTTTAGCTGCACAAAAGCAGTGGAAAAAGGACCACGCTGTCCTTCAGACGCGTAAGTCTGCACACCACCAACGTTTGCGGCCTCTTGGCACTCCAATCATTTCAGGGACATTCTTTGCTTGGTCTGGAAGGATCCACGGCATGCGGCGTGGGGAGTCGCACTTGCGACGTTCCTCGGACCCTTGCTTGGTTGAGGTTCGCCTCCAAAGCTCTACGATCGGAGACAGCTGAACATATACTGCACAAGACTTGCCACAGCAACCACACATGCCATGCCCATGCGATTGACAAGCGTGGCGGTCACTGCAAACAGCCCGCACAGCCCCCCAGCGCATCGTCCTGCCCGCAGCGAGCGGCTGCGGCGGACAAATGCCAGCGTTTTGCAATGACCCTTGGTGCCTAGAGGATATCCCGAGCCCGACGGATCACTCACACCCTCCCTGCTGGATGTGCGGGAAAGCGCACATCGGTTACCTAAATCAAAGGGAAAGGCCGGCCTGAGTCGATGTCTCCCTGCCAGGGTGATGTGGTGTTTGGAAAGTCAGAAGCACTTTCCTGTAATTAGAGCACATGTCAACATAGACGCAATGCAAACAGGGCTGGAGGACGAGCATCCAAGGAATTGACGCGTGAGGATATGCAGGCTCAGGAACCTCATCCATAGCCGGCATGAACAAGCATGGACTGGCTAAACGCGATCCGAATCTACACATCTGCAACCGAAACACGTTGAGGTCTTCTGGCAGAGGGTCGGCTCCAGTCAGTTCTCTCAGCTCCTCAACGCCACATCAATCTCGGCCAATGGCGCTTTACACTGAAAGCAAGATTCTCCGCACCTCAAAGCGCTGCTGCCAGAATGTCGCATCTCGCAATGACCTCAGCGAAACACCAGTTACCACGAGTCAACATACGGTACCCAGATTGTGAAGTGTGCGGTGGCTGACAAATGTAGGAGTCAGCCCCAAACGACATAGAGAAGCTTCGTTTCTGCCTCTCAACGGCACTCTGCGAGTGCCAGAGGCCTGTTGTGCTGAAGCCTTAGTGAATGCTCGTAGACCGCACTTGTAAGATTTTTAGACGTGGCTTCTGAGCCTTTGGCCAGGGCGCGGCCGCAAAGAGCTCTTGCCGCTGAGCCTGTAAGGAGAGAGAGAACGAGACCTCAACTTTGGCTGCGGCTGCAAGTGGGCCTTTCAGCCAAATCTAGGCATGTCAAGTTCAGGCCTCAGCCAACCCCACTTTTCATCTTTTTTCAGCTCATCACTTCTCACCGCAGGATCGATGACCGAGATGTGGATCAACAGAAGACAGGCAGACCGCTGTGAAGAACTGGGGCCGGGACGGCTACACTGCAGCTCAAAGAACTGGCACTCCTCTAATCGGCTCTCATACTCCTGCACTCACTGCACTCAGACCGGAGATGAAAGTAGCACCCTCCCAGCAGACTTGGAGCCTCTCTCAAGTGCTGGAACTCATCAAAGGCATCGCCATACGCAGCACTAATCAAGTCCACCTGTATGGCGTGCAGCTCAGACATCTTACACATACTGTTGCTTGTGGCTTCTGTGCAACTCAGCCACTGTGCCCTGCAGCTGCTTGATGCGCTGCACAGCCTCACGCTGAAAGCAAAGAATCTTGCCCAGTTGCCTGGGACTTCGAGTTGGTGGATTCCCAGTGTCTGGGTTGAAAATGACGAAATGCCAGGTAATGACTAAACATAATTCCACTGGCCAATCTAACATACCGCCCCCATTTGCAGCAAAGGACTCAAACACAGTTCATAATCCCTGGAGCTGTCAGGGTATGTTCTTCCGCCTTGCAAGGCAATCCTCATCCAACGCTGTTGATCTAAACCCTGCTTCTTCTGGGATCCACGCGTGCTTGAAGCGTTCTTCATCATCACAGGGCACAGTTCCCACCTGCCGGCGTTCTTTGCTCTCCGATCTTGTATCATGAACCCTGCTCAAGTCATCCCGACATAACTAATTAGTTTTAATACATAGATAGTCATACATGTACATAGGAAGGCTTTACAACTTCGCAGCATATTATGCATAAAAGTGATGACTGTGGAAGACAACCTGACCTGTCATCCAGAACATTCCAGAACTATTCGTGGCACTGCATACCAACTCAAGACATGCATGATTGGACAACTCCGTTTGGGACACTTATCTGGGAAGAACTCAAGATAAAGCATGCCAAGGCCTGCTCGTGTAACGAGAACGCTCCTCGCCAAGCTCACTACGAAACACAAAATGTGAGGTTCAAGCAAGACAGGATAGAAGTGTCGCCTGCTGAGCCATCAGCTCCTCCTAGAAGCAGGCCCAACCTACCTACCCCCAATGAAGCCCCCTGTTTCAAATCGACTTTTCATCACGCTGCCCTTGCATGTATCTCATGGACGCAGGTCTCAGTTACAGTTATCAGCCTTTATCACGTTTTCCACATCCCGAGCCTCTACGACTTCAATGCTGATCCCTAAATCCATGCAAAGAGCGGTTTGTGCTGACCGCTCCGGTCCTCGCTCAGGAGACCGACCATCATCTACCTCTCAAGGAGGGACTGGATGGAAATGGAGGAGGAAGAGAGAAGGAAGAAAGGTGAGATGGCAGCCACGGGCGTCAAACGAAAAGCTTGAGCGAGACTAGTCACCTGACAACCGCCTCAGTGACCCCACCCCCACCCCCATCCCCACCCACCACCGCCGCCGCCGCCGCCGCCACCACCACCACCACCACCACCACCCCCACCACCCACCACCACCCCCACCACCACCACCACCACCACCACCACCACCACCAACACCACTGTGCTGACAAGCTTTCAAGGGAAGTTGAAGATGGGCGAATCTAATAGCAAGCTGATTCAAGACTTGAAAACTTTCTGTCATCCTGGACCAACCCAACCCCTGTATTAATTCTGAGCCTCCTTGGCTCCACGGCGCCCGGCCGAGCCAGCAGCAGTGACAGATTGGAGCCGAGCGCAGCCTGGGCCCTGGAGAAGGCCCTGGGCCTGACCGGAAAAACAAACTCTTCTGGTTCTTTCAATTTTTGTTTGTTCCAGTGTGCTGCAGATAGCCCCAGCAATAACAAGAGCAACCTAGCTCTGCGGGTCCTACACGAAGCAGACTGCCACAAGTGAACATCTCAAATAATTACAAGTACCATTGCCAAGTCTGCTGGGGTCCGTCCATGCATATGGCATGATCAGGACAGTCGACTGGGAAGAAGTGCAGAGGGTAAGGCGAGGCGGTCCTGCTTGAGAGCTTCCTGTGTGGCTATGTCCAGCTCAGCAACCTGGGGAACAGCAGAAATTGTCTTGAAATTATCTTCCGGGAAGCTTTGCTTCCGAGGTCAGTTCCAGTGAGACAGGAACTGCACTGGAAGTCTCCTCACCACAGATATTCACGACTTGACGTACTTGCAAATACTTGCAAATTGGCTCGCAGAGCAACTGCATCTCAAGACGTCTGCGGGCCACAAATGTTCTGATATCAGCACCACAAAGCGCCGAAAGTGCCCTCGGGTCCTTTGCAGGCTGGCTGTTGGGGCTTTGCCTTTGTAGAGGCCAAACACGCACTTCAAGCACGCGCACCCTTACACCAGTACACAAACTAATGCAGCATGGGTAATCGAGAAGCTCAGCCACCAGCACGGCATTGCCACCTCCCTGCCACAAGAGGAGAAGAGTTCGAATCAACACGAACGATCGCTGCAGCAGACAAAGGATGAATGAGCCTGAGTCCTTGTGCTATCACCTTGCTTTCTAAGGCAATGTTTCGCACTTGACCATGGCTGTGCCTGAGTTGTCGAAGGATAAGGTAGGGGCCAGATTCCCTTTGTGCATTTTGCAAATGCGTCCACTCGATGGCACGTGAAAGGCTCTCCTTCAGGAAACAAGGCTGTGACCCGCAGCTGAGACTCCAGTCCTCAAATGTCCTTCGCTCGCATAAGTTCCTCAACTTCCTTCGCGGAGAGCAGCTTCCATCTTTTCTGTAGTGTACGATGGCCGTATATGGCCGCGTCACATGCCCTCGTCCTTGGCCATCTTCTGGAAGTAGAACCATGTTTTGCTCCTCAAGAGTCAACGGCTTAAGAGTTGTCGGACGCCATGACCGCCAGAGAACTGGGGTTCAAGCGAGCTGTCATCATCAGCTTCGACTCCGCTAACAATGATCTGGATCAGTACGAATCAAGTTGGACATCTCTGTGAGCTGCAGGATGCCTCCGAACTTATGGAAGGCGGTGAAGGGAGCGCCTGCAGCCGCTTCCAGGAACTCCGAAACAGTAGCGGAGGACGCCATGATAAGCCAAGATGCTTTGCCAAGCTCGCTGCTTACGAAGCCTGCTCCGGCTCTGATGAACTGATTTAGAATGCAGCATGATATGCGGCTTATGGATGGCACTGCCTTGAGAACCATCTGCGTGAGGAAGCGGCCTTGGAAAGATGATGTCTCGCTGGCTTCATGCAATGCTAAAATTCTGCGAGATGCGAAAGCCTTTCCTTACGGCCCGCACTGACCCGGAACTCGCGGCCATCCTTTCGTGTGAATGTAACATCACTGGCAGGATGTGTCTTCATGACGCCACGCGCGGCAGGTATCCAGAATCGTGCTTCATGTTGCAACGAAGCAAAATGTACAACAATGCCACTTCAGGGCACCTGCTGGATCTAGCGCTCGCAGCTCCTCGCCTGATCCAAAACGTAGGCCGTGAGTCCGCACTCGCAAAGGCAGACATGTGCTGGTGACCCGTTCTGCTTGCTCTGGGGGTGCTGCGCAGCGCCCAGTTCTCTGCAATCAGCCGCTGCACCTTTCTTGCCACATTTTCTGATCAGTCTGATTATCTGGCTGCAACCAGCCTCCGGATGGTTCTCCAACTGCCTACCACAAAATGGAGCAACTGCGCAAATCTTGGAAGCAGCTTCAGGGGGCCACAAGCGATGTGAAGGAGAGAGGGATGCCTCCTCAGCATGCGATTCTCTTCACGGATGAAAGTCGCCTCGTCGCCCGAGATTGCAGAATCCTGGACAGCTTGCGGCCACGGCATTGCGGCCATCAGCGTCTAAAGTTTAGGTCAACCCGCTGCCACACCATGTCAGTGGCTCGCCTCAAAGTTGTGAGTGGGCCTGGGCAGACATGGGAAGGTTGCATGAACTTGACATGGCTACTCAATTCTGAAACCAATCTCTTGCAGCTTCATTTTCGAAGATCCGCAGATGCTGCCGCTTGTCTCAACTACCCGCCGCAGCCGCTTTAGAAGCTGGAACACGTTCACACTCAGATCCCCGTTTCACGCATGCGGTTCAGCCCAACGGCCCAACAGGCTCAAGTCAATGTTGTTGAATGCTTCATGGCCAATGGAGCAAGTGTTCAGAGATCAAGCATGTCCGTTTGTCCCTCGGACGCAACTACGTAGCAACTGCCAACCACATCCCAGCACTAGTGCTGGTGAAGGTGAGGCAGAACACCCGGAAGGCCACGATTCCAGCCGACCATGTCAGAAAGGTCTTGGGCGAATTGCAGGGAAGCTTTCGCTCCATCGCAGTCAAGGTCGGCCCCGGGAATGTCAGATCGGATAAAGACTCCGACCAACACCTTTGTGTTCTTCTCTCGTCGAACCTGACAAGACATGGGCTGCAAATTCCCAGCACATGCTTGCAACCGCGCAAGCCCGAGGTGGCTGTGGCGCTATGGCCAAGGAGCCGAGATCCGCCGGATATACTCCAGCATGGTCACCAACATGATGCCATCCTGGCACAAGCGAAACACGTCAGTTTCAGTGCGCAGCAAGTTGCTGGTCCAGATCTTTCGGGGTCTGCAGACAGTCCTGGCCATGCGCCAACTGCTCCGCATAGCCTCAACAGCTCAATGATTGCGTGGCACTGTAGTTCAATCACAGCACGGCACCATACACACGATTGAGCCCAGGGCTTTGCTCAGAGTCCTTCGGCTTCAGGAATTTGAAGATGTCGTAGCCCTTGCATGCATGGCTCTAAGCAGAGAATCTGTCAGGACCTTCTGGCCATCATCGCATCTGAGCTCAACCCTTGCAGAAGCAGCGGCGAAACCAAAAAAGGATCTGCCAACATCTATATGATGGTTGGTGCGCACCGTCTCACTGATCTTGCTGCCATCGGAGTAATCGACTATCTGGTTGTCCTTCCCTTTCACCTGGTGACATGGGGTCACAGACTTTCTTCAAGTGGCTCACTCACCCGGCCTCGAAGTCTCTCGGAGGCCACAAGCTGAGGAGACTTCCAGGTGGCGACAGCTGGCTTGTCTTGGCCCAAATGCCAAGGTAACCTGGCAAATCTATTTGCAATGTGGTTGTTCGCATGGTGAGCTGTCCACATCAGTAACCAAATCTGCGAGCCCCGAGCCTTTCATGTCATTCAAAGCTTCATTGATGAAGAAAGCCTCCTCCACAATCGGCCCGATGGCTGATGTGAAGTACGTCAGGTGACGAGTGAACTCAAGGTTGTTGTCCCTCAGAACACAAATTTCATCTTCAGGTTCCATGGAAGAACTATCCTGGGATCTCCCAGGTACGCTGAGGAAATCAGCATGCAACCCGAGCTTGCGTGCTATGTGCAACCGAAGCCTTCCAGCGGTCTGCGCAATCTACTGTTGATAAGACCCACGGCTCTTCATGCTTGGACGTCTTGTTGACTGCGCTCTTTCTGCCAGAGCTTGGCGGGGGCAAGCTCAGAGCGCAAGGATTTGAGTCGCAAGAAAATATTGCTGCAAGTATCTGGGTCATTCCTGGATCCTGAAACGAGACTCTAGCAAAGAGAGCCTGAGTAAGATGGTAGGCATGAGGCAGACGCATTGCAGAGTCCATTTCTGGGGTCCCCATGAATTTGTCGTGCTTTTTTCGGCGTGAGGTCAGCTGATTCAGCCCCTCTTAGATAATTATCCGCAATCTCCGAAATACTGTACTGTATTTGTCCAACTACAGAGAGAACCCAACGAGGGCCCATAATTTCAAACCACCCCCAACCTGGTTTCTAGGTGCAGGGTTGCTCTTTCTTTGGACCCCCAGGCCTTTTTTCAAGCGACAACGGGTGCTGCAGGCTAGGCTGAAGGACAAAATATGACCATATGGCTTTCTCAATTCAGACAGGGTGCTCAGCCACCTTCGATTCAATGATTTCCTTCATTTTCTCGAAGAAAGCTTTCCGGGCCTTCTTCCAGTTGTCCACCTGGCTCAACTTGAGTGAAGCTAGCTAAACAAAAATTCCTAGTAGAGGACCTTTTCCACAGAAGTTGCCGTCCCACCTTGTCGTTCATGTGCCATTTCCCATAGTTTGCATCTTTCTTGCACTGAGTCAATGCTCGTGGGATTTCTGCCCCCACAGTGCCCTCGTACTCCCCCTTGGCCTGCTTGGTGTACCTGGCCACTCCTAAAAAAGCGTTTGGGTTTTCTGGAACCTTGAGACAATGCTATACAATCACTTTGCTGAACCTAGTCCGTTATGGGCCTTTGTGGGACGGGACTTCACGACCGCAGTCAGGGCTCTTCCACAAGGCACATGTATGCATGCAAGACTGCTCTGCTCGACGCAAAATGCGCTGGGAGGCTCTCAGACAAAAAAAACAGAACATCACCGACCATGACCACGTAAGAAATCTTTGCAGGTCAAGGGGCAGGCTTGGAGTGTTGACGCCTGGGTGGTATGAGGCTGGCTCTTTCGTGGGGCGAAGTCAATGCTGATTCCATCCCATGCTCCATGGTTCATGTTGACGTCACTCTGTGATCATACAGCATTTCCACGGAAATCACGGAAAGCTGGCACTTCAAGCGTACTTGCACAACGGCTTTGCGCTGAAGCCATCAGCTGATGAAGCGTCAGAGTAAATCTGTCAGCCCACTCTGAAAGTGAGGACGTTGACACCTCAACCCTTTCAATGTGTCGTGCTGGGGCCAACATCACATGCCACCTCTAGCTCAATGGATCAAACGCGTGGTGAGGACATGTGTCATGAGGAGCCTACTTCAGCACTAGATACATGTGAGTGTTCGGGCAATATCTGCCGAGGCACCGAGAAGCACGTAATCCATAACACCGACACCCTTGAAGCTCCTTGACCAAAGACGCTCTGCCCAGCTCATGTCCTCGGCATCCCCACCTGAGCACGGAGGCATTGAATTGCAAGTTCAGCACTGCTTGCCAACGGCCCGAGGTTCCTAGACGCTCATCGCCCTTCACTGCCAACTAATCTGCATCACGGGCGCTGAAAGGATTTGTCTCTATGCGCTTCTTGGAAAGCCCCGTTACTGGTCCTGTCAGCATCGCATTGCTTCAATCAATATCGTGACAGTCAAAACTCCAGCGCATGTGGCTCTGCGAGTCAGATGCTGGCATCCATTCAAGCTATCTGTTGCCCCAGAGCGCACACCCGGGAACAAAGCAAGTTTATGAACCTGTGTGTTCAGGAAGCTCAAAACGGGCCACCTTCACAAAAACAAAAAAAAAAAAAACGTCTCTGCGTCCTTCAGCATAAGCTGCCAGTATTTCCTCCCTTGTGAAAGTACATGGTTTTTTCTTGTCCGCAAGTTTCCTCAGCAATCAAAAGCGATCCACATGATTGAAGTGTGCTTCCAAATTGCGTAACTCTATCGCGTGCTCTGATATGAGACATTCACACTCGTGCGCCAAGCCACACGCCATCTGCCTTGCTCGGAAACCTTGGAGAAACTAACACGGCAGCGGGGTCCTCACTGTGTCCTGGGTCTCAGAAGCTGACTTGATAGCTTCTGGCAGATCCACGCCACGTTCGTCCTGGGCAGCTTTGCTTTGGGCTCTTTCGATTGCTGGACGAAGTTCCGGCTGGTTCGCGCCTGCGCAAGCCATCTCGTTGGCTCTTTGTCCAGCTGGGGGCGCACCATCTCCTTCTCACCACCTGAAGCATGTTAACATATCTCAACTCACATGGAGCGTCCAGCTCCTCTTGCTGGCCAGCGGCTGGGAAGGACAATGTTGACGCAACCACGGGCAGGCTTGATGGGGTCGCACTTGACAAGGACGTCGCGGAGCTCATAACACCAGGACAATGGTCCAGACATTAGGTCCCAGCTGCTTAAGCTTGCCAGGTACCTTGGGTTTGCTATGCCTAGAATCCTGTACATGAAGTCAGCTGTCTACAGCCCACGGACGCCGCCTGCCAACTTATGACAAGCCGCTTGGCCATCAGCTCTTTGGACATCTTTCCATTTTTTGGATCACACAAGCCCTCTCCTGTCAAGTGACATCGCAATCTTTCCGGGGCCGTTTGCACTTCTGGGCTGCTATCCGGCCTCGTGGTGTCACGCTGTTCTTGAATCGGAGGAAGCCAGACACCATGACCTGACCGTAACCAAGCACAAGCCTTACTGGATAGCATGCAACAGGTGACACGCAACTACTTTTTCGAATTTATTTTGACAAGCCGCAGCCGGATCCTCTGAACCAGCCAAGTCCACTGTGGAGACCGGTGCCATCTTTCCTGTCGCCAGCTTCACCCGTTATCCAGGAATCATGATTGATACGCTCCCAATGCTTTGTGCCGCACCGTTCTTGAAGAATATGTTGGTCAGCACAAAAAGCGTTCCACGAGATGATTTTGGATTGTTGACCGTACCACCTCAAAGCAGAGCACTGCCAGGTGTCTGATAGGAAGGCAGCTGATTGCAGGGGCTTCGGCGGATGTGAGCGATTGGCTCACCGCCGGCCCTGAACTGGTCTTCGTCCAGACGAATGTCCTTCATCCATGAGCACCATCACAGGAGGTTTCCCCGCAACTTGCAGGGCTCCCCAAGCCTCGATGACGGTCAAGACCTCCTTGACCTTTTCGTGCCAAGCTATGGTGCCAGACATCGCGGGTGGAGTCTCTGCCTGCAACATGGCATCGCGGCATCATCTACCCTTCGTGTTCGAGCGCTATTGCTTTGACTAAGGGACCCAGCGAGCGGTGCATCTCACCTTGATGCTGTAGGTGAAGGCATCTTGATCCAGCTTTTCCTCCAGCAACGTCATGTTCAGTGCGCCGCTGCCTGGGCAGCGAAGGCAGCGAGGCATGTCAGTAGTGCCGATTTTGATTTTGTGTATTCGGATGTGTGCAGGGACGGCTTGGTTTGCTGTTGCCAAGGTGCTGGGCTCCTCCTCTGTGCCTTCTACTTCGAAGGCGTAGGATTGCCCCAGGTACACCGCTGTCTGGGCCAAGAAGCGATACCAGATATGTCACATTGTGCAACCCAGATAGCTGCCTTCTCCCTGAGACGGTAGCCCCAGATGCCAGATCCCGTCTGAGCTTTCATGAAACCATTCTGTGCACCGATGCGCCCATAGACCTCTCCACGATATGCTCAAGCATACTGCAATACTGTGTGCCACATATGCAAAACCCTCAATGAGCATCAACGCACACCCGGCACCTCAAAAATGCGAACCTGCACATCCTCAGAACAGCTCGGGCAGCAGACTGAAAAGCAGGCTGATGCATGCCGACTCTGCAGCATTCTGCAGCGACAATAGCGGAGACGTCGATAAGAGCAATGGTGACTGGATTAGGCTGGTCCATGTTTGAAAGGAAACTGAACGATTCCATCATTCTGCATGTGCCAGACGTGCCATGAAAGTTCTATTTCATGAAGCATGTGCAGGTAACAAGCACGTGCTTGCAGGATAAACTCCAGTCAGGCTGCAATTTAATTCGTTGCATCCGAGCTTCATCGATTTTGCGCGCATTCTCCTTGAGGTAGAGCGACAGGACACCATCAATACCACGCCCGCCGCCGACTGGTGCTGTCGCATCCCCAATCCTGCAACCCGTGTTCGCAGAATTTTCTACATCTAGCCTGCCCTGCATGTTTGGTCAAACCTCAAATTCCTGAAGCACGTCGCACAAAACAGAACATATCAAAATACACAAAGCAAACCTGGCGATGGGAGCCTTCATCTAAAACATGTGAAAACCCTCAGGATCAGAAAGTGGCGATACCAATTTGAGCAAGGCGGCAGTGTGGTGGTCTTTCCAGCGCCAGAGTAGCCATAGCTGATCATCATCATGCCTTCTCCGACCTCTGCCTGATAGTTCTTGCCCGAATCATACAGTACCATTGTTTGAGGCGACGCTGCTGGCACTCACTCGGTAGTTTTGAGCAAACATTAAACAATATTTTGTAAATTAAACGAAAGAAGCAGAAAAGCCCAGCAAAGACCGCCGTATCTGCAAAACAGGGGCGCTACGTCCGCTACGTGACGCAAACATCTTTAGTTGGAAACAATGGATGTCACACACTGCAAGTGACGTTTTATCATCGTAGACTGCAAGCTCCCGGTGCCTCGCGAAGCATTTCCCACAGAGGAGGGTCGAGCTTTCGATCCTGTGGCAGCGAGTACAGCATCTGGTCTGGGTCCCAACCTCAGTCGATTATGTCTTGGCAAACTTAAGGTCAAGACGAGCTACACTTCGAGGTGTTTCACCTCAGTTCGGCTGCTGGGGTGCCCACTCGTCTCCCCGAGATTGGTGCTCTTTTGCCAAGTCTTGCTTCTGGAATGTGTCAGGGGAGGAGGCGTGCCATAGATGTAGTCCTCAGCACGCGCCAACCCTAGAGTTGGTTCTTGCTCCCAGGAAATGTTGTCCTCACGTGAATAAGCCCCCGTGTAATTGCGGAATCCAAGTCCCAGAACGTAATGAAAACCCCGCCGTACAAGTAATTGCAAAATCCAATCTGCTCAAACGCAGAAGTTTAGAAGCGCCGGTACTGGCTAGTACTAGTCCTGGCAAGTCTTACTAGACTTACTAGAGCTCAAGCTGACGGACTCGGAAATCTGTAGTTACGGAGGCAAGAGGGGGGTATTCAATCTGAGTTGAACATTACTGCTTCTATGCTGGTGTGACCCTGAGCCGAGACACAGCCATGCCACGATTAAATTGTCCTTTGAACGCGACAGCCTTCCATTGTGCCACAAGGCCAACATGATAGCGTCTTGAGACAAAGGATGGCTGCACAAGGCCTGCGGCTCTGCGCATTGCTCCGCAGAAGGGCCATCTTTTTTGGCCAGGCACTCCTGCTTTTCCTCCAGGAACTGAGGATTGAGTCTGACAGCACAAGACTGCATTGGAGTGCTGGACAGCCTCCAGGGAGTGATAGCCATAGAGATCTTCCGCAGGGTGGCTGTAGATGCCCCAGAAGGGTCCATACCTTCAGCGCTTCAACGAGTCACTTGTGAGGTACTTGCACATAAGTTCACTCAAGGGCAGAATCTCTAGGTGGGGGGGGAAACTGCAAGCAAGCCGCAGTCTGCATTTATTGGTGCTGATGTCACCGTTGCCACACATGGAATACATGAAGCTATTCACCTCCTCATCGGATGAGCGCTCGCAGTTTTCCAAGACGCCTTTAGTAACCGGCGGCTCTGTTCTGACTCGATTTGTCCCGCATCCGAAATAGCGAACAACTCGATTCCTGCACGCATGCTCCACGTGTGAAAGTGAAGCAAAAATTAAGTTAAGCGATAAAAGTGTTGCAGCCGCTCAGCTTCAGATTGTCGCACCTGTCGCCCGGCTCGTCAGATCTTGCACACGCCCTTGGTTAGGATTTGCGTGCTGTCTTCTGCTCAACACCAGAAGGAAGCTGGCGGTCCCGATCTCCCGTGTTTATCTCCCATTTTCCTCAGCTGCTGCCTAGCTACATGACAGCCGATGGGAACTCGTTCTCCTTGAAGGGAATCGCTCCGACACACTTCTTCCACTGATCCTGCGATACAGCCGCAACAAAGCCAAAAACAATCAAGAATGCGAACACATCACAATCTCGAACGTAGTGACCAAATTGTGCATGCTCCAGTGCAACGGCTGGTCCCAAAACTGTTGGAGCTGCGCATCGCTTTACATGCTTTACGGTATAAGTACATGTAGTTTATAGCAGTTGTACCCTCAACTTCAGTCCTCGTGCATCCTGGTCATAAAGGCTCTGGGATCTTGCCCTTTAGGAATTTCGATCTTGGATGTGGCAGGCTGACAATGCAAAGACAGAAGCCGCCTGTTTGCTTGTGAGGCCAGACGAGAAGGGTGGGAGCAAGGTTGCGTTCTCTACTGAGGGCGTTGGAAGCCCTGAACCTGGCACCCGTAAAACCCACACGCGTGAGCAAAGTAAGCCTCTCTCTAGCGTCAACATGAAGAAAGCTGACTACAGTTCACGTGGCAAAGCAAGATGCTAATTGCAGAGGAGGGAGCGCGGCATTGAGTTGTGACCTTGATGAAAACTCGAACTGCTCCCCATGACTCCTGCAGCGTGAAATTTCACTGGGCCAACTGCGCCTGTCCCTACTATAGTCTGATGTGTGGGATCTTGCCCCACATCTCATTACATCGCACTGTCCTGCCACATGTGCCACAGGTGAACAGGATCACGGACTTCAGGCGTGCCCCGCTCAACCTGAACGCAGCAGCCGAGCCCTCATGCAAAGTGGCAAGAATCGGGATGACCACAGATCAACGCTGCTGTTTTGCAGTTTGGCTGCTGCTGACACATCCGTCAGAAACTTGCGCATGCCGAAGCAAAGCTCGTCTCAGTGCAAAAAAAGATCGGCAAGTAAAAAGCTGGACTTGTCTCTGCTAGGCTCGCTTGTGTACATGGTGCAGGCGAGCTTCCCTCGAGCTCCTGCAACACCTCTTTCTTTTTTCCTTGAGCGCGATGGAGGGCGCTGGCCAAGCCCAAACTGCTGAAGTCCATGTACCTGAAGGTGAGTTGACAGTGCCTTGCTCCTGCTTGGGGTTTTGACCCAGAAGAAGCGCACTCTGCTTTGAGCTTCTGCGCATTGGTGAAGTTCACCTGGCTGCAACTACTTGGCACCAATGTGCATTTTGATCGCAATATCTGCAGTGGAGCACGGCATCCGAAGCTTGCTCCAGATGCTGGCCGAAGGTCCTGCGGGTTATATAGGGATATATAGGGACTATCTGGGGGTTATACAGGGATGTAGGGCCTATCTAGGGGTTGCATAGGGACATTATAGGGACTATGTAGGGGTTATAATATATAGGGTTGTTTAGGATGGTTTAGGACAGGCTCAGCTTTGGCGGAGGATCATGCAAACTCATTTGCTTGTGTCTGCCGGCTTACTTGGCAATTTCCATAAGTAGGGGGACCCCAGTATAGACCCCAACATGCTATAATGCTCATTTTGAGGACGCCCAAAATTATTACCTCGAATTGAAACTCCCAACTTACCTTATCAAGGTTGGGTGAACCCTTTGTGCATGAGTCCAGGCAAAGGCCCCATTGCTCTCCAGCTTTGCCATGTCAGGAGCCACACTCGCCACCTTATCGCCAGGATAGATAAGACTGAAGAGACATTGGACGGCAGTGCCGGACAGGTCCCTGCAGTATTCGTCAAACGATAACCGTGGGTCTATGAAGAAGATCGTTCAGTGAATCTCTTGAAGAACATTCAGATTTTAGGTCGCACGCATTGTTGCGGAACGCTCCAAGTACTGCACCAAGCTCCTGCACTTGTGAGGCTGATTGGAGCTGCCGTAGCTGGCAAAACCTGCTGCAAGATTTTTGGGCACCAGCTCCTCCCACTTGAGCCGCTTGGCCAAAGAAGTCAGCAGCAGCCAGCCCTCAAAAACGGGCAAGAACTTCCTGGCGACCCTGAGATGGCAACATGTTGGCAATTACAAGGTATCTCTTCGCACTTGTTGGCTGGGTGCCCGGCTCATCCAGAAAACACTTATCAGAGATTGAGGTCTTTACTGAAATTGCTTCGGCTTGCTCGTCCTGCAGCTCCTTGCCCTTCGGTCAGGTCAGGCGTTGACTCCATCGATGAGAACGAAAGCAGGAACAAAAGCAGCACTTCCAAGACCTTGCCTTGAAGACAGGCTGGGAATCCTTAGGCAAAGCCACAAACCCTCTCTGAAGTAGAAGGATCGGTCTCCTTCCCTCGGTCTCGTTTCGTACGGAAAAAAGACAGGCTCTGGCCTTCCTTGCCCGCATTTGCCCGTCAGCTTCCCAGGCCACACCACCATGATTTCTTGCTTCTTGTCCTTGGCCGTTCCTGGTTCCTGCTAGGTCGAATCGGGTCTCCGCTTTCTCACCTCCCCGGCCCGCCATCTCCAGCTCCAGCCTCTCACGAGCCGAGTCGGATCAAGTCGGTAAGGCGGCCCCCGGGCTATGAATGAAATCATCAACTCCCAGCCCACCGGGAGCCCCGCCGCAGTTGTTGCGAGAGTCGTGGTCGTGGGGCTCTCTTCCTGTGCCCAGTTCAGAGTGGACGGGACTGCCAGCATCATAGTTATAGTCTGCGTCTGAATTCTGCCAGGAGCAACCTCCCCGCCTGCACAGGTTCGCTTGCGACTACCGTCTCCTGACTGAAGGGAGCTGCAGCACCGGCTTGAGGAAGCTTATCATTCTGGGTTGTACAGCACACAGTGTTCCTGCAAAACACATGTTTGTCACCGCGTGTGCCATGCGCCAGCTAACAGGAGTTAAGTTTAGAAGTCCTCCAACAAGCCTTTAGCAGCTGCAGACAGGTGCTTAAGCAGCAGCCTGCCCACAAACCCTGACCAGGCCAGCTTAGAAACGGAATTGAGCAGTCCTGGGCCGCTGCTGGTGGGGGCAACACCTCCTGGCAACCGTTCATTTTCCAGCAAAGCGGCAACCTCAACTCCGCGTGATCTGATAGCATTGCAGCGAACTCCAGGCCTGCTCGGAGATTCTCTCCAGCTCGCCCTTCATGTTCTCCTGGTTCTGGACCATCTCCTGTTCGTTGGCAGCGAAGCATACTGGTTGACGATGTTTGCAATCTCTGGTCCTGCTGATTTTTCACCACGTCCTGCAAGAGAAGACTGCTCAGAAAATGCGAGGGACCCTACCAGTGGCGCCGGCCCAAAAGACAGAGAGAGAGAGAGAGAGAGAGAGATCACAACATTGCATCTGAAAGCTTGCAACGCATTTGCT